AGCAGCATCCTTCATGAACCTCCTTCACAGAGGCCGATCTTGACACTGTTGGTACCAGTCATCCGCAAGTTCACTCAACTCCACATCCTTCTGTACCACATGAGTTCATATCTTTCTTAGCCTCTGCCCCGCACGTTTAGCCCCATCTATCCAGCCGAACAGAAGCTTCTTGGGCATGCGGTGTCTGGGCATGTGGGTTACATGACCCAGCGAACCCAGTCTCGCTTGCCGGAGGAGCACACTGATGGGACTGTGTCCAGATATTTTAAGGTACTATGAACTCCTCCCACAATTCAGTCTGGTTAAACCCAGGATGGACCATAGGTAGACAAGTCTGAATGTTTCTAACTGACAGATTTTCCTTTAGAGGGCTCCACATTTCACAAGCATAGAGAAGGGAGGGCATAACTATGGCTGAGAAGACGCGGAGCTTTATATAGCGTGATTTATATAGCGTGACAGGCCAGGTATCTTCCACATAGCGTTAAGCAGCTGATGAAAATATAATGCTGCTCGACTGATTAGGAGTGAGACCTTGGCTGCTAAACCGGAGCTGGTCACAACAAACTCTGCCCAAGTATGGAAACTTCTCCACTCTCTCCATAACTGCACCATCACTCATGGGGAGTTGAGGAAGGGGAGTATTTCATGACATAAGGCCCCATCTGATGGTAAGGCCTCATCTCTTAGCAGCATGCTCCAGGTTCAGCAGTAGTATCTCCAACTCCTCGGTGGGGCAGCAATCACCTGATCATCCGCATACATATGGTTGACGAATAGGGAGCCATCTCTTGTCCGCACCCAGGCATCGATCAGCCTCTAAATGTATCTATACTAGACGGAAATTCCACCGGTACATCCATGCAAAGCTTCTCGAACTACATGGTAAAAGACGATGTTAAAGTATTGAGGCCAAAGAGTATCCCTGCTGTACCCCAAGGTGAACAGAAAATGGCTCCGACACCCAGCCATGCAACTTTACCGGGGCCTGCCCACTATCATGAAGGTCCTTAATGATTGTAAACAGATGGTCTGGGACTCCAAAAGCACGAAGAATAATCCAGAGCCCTGGCCTATTGATGCTATCATAGGCCTTAACCAGGTCAATAAAGCAGAGATCTAGGTCTTGTAGAAATGTTCTTCTCCTCTGCTGTAGCATATGGACAGATAAAACGGCTTCCATGCAGGACCGCCCTGGACTAAAACCACATTGGGGCTCTGCAAGCTTCTTGGCATGTATGGCAAGGTGATGTTGACAGTACCTTTCCCGGCGCAAAGAGAAGGGACATACCCCAGTAGTTGTTGCAATCATTGTAATCCCCCTTTTAAAAAATTGGGACCACTCGGGCATCCTCCCAATCCTGCGGAACCCATCTTGTGGACTAGACAGTTTTAATTATGTCAAATATGGCAGTCTACACAGAAACACCACCCTTCCTCAGCAGTTCACTTGGGAGGTCATCTCTCCTATCGCTTTACCTGGTTTCAAGCTCCGAATCACCCTACGCACTTCCTCAACAGATGACACATCACCCAACCACTTACAAGGAGAGACTCCTTCCTCCAATATTTGAGGTACAGCAGCACCCAGCAGGGTCAACCCAATCTTGCCCTATGATGTTGTTTGAGCTGTGCGGTTTCCCCTCCCCCAAGACGTCACAGAAATGCTCAGCAATCCTGCGAACCTGTTCTCGGGGGTCGGAGATCGGATCACAGTTCTTTCCCTGAAGGATGGTTTTTAGTTGTGGCGCTGCAAGTTACTTTTTCGATGGTGTTAATAAAGAGTCCTTTGTTATCGTGTGCTGAGGTAGCCTCCCTATCCACACTCAACTACACATACAGTTCCACCTCTTCCCCTCTTCATCCGTGGGTTTTGAATTGTGACTCCAAATGCACCAATTTGAACCCACCACTGTCGGTGTTGCTGCTGCCGGTATTTGCTGCATGCGTATGCGGGTCTGTTGGTGCGCATGTGATTCTACTTGTGTGTATGTAATTCTGCTCATGTATGTGATTCTGCTGGTGTTTGTGTGATTCTGCTCTTGCGTATGTGGGTCTGCTGTCCAATGCTGGCTGCGTGTGCAAATTTTGCTCATACACGTGCTTGCACCCAATTGCAGCATCTCTCCCCTCTCCCAGGTGCCGACTCGTCATCACTCAAGCTTGCCAAGGACTGCACGCCCATTGAGTACCCACGGCCAGATGGCAAGATCAGCTTTGACCTGCTCTCCTCGGTGGCGCTAAGTGGCACTAACCACGAGGGTGACCAGCCGGCGCACCTCACGCTCGCCGACGACAGCGTGCCCGTGCAGCGCAACCTGGCCCTCTACGACGGCCCCGAGCAGCGCTTCTGCCCCGCAGGTACCCGGGGAGGGGAGCCGGCTCGAGGGACACAGGCGGGCAGTTGTCAGAGGTTGCGATCCTTGCGTATGTGTCTGTGTAGGTATGCTCAATGTAAAAAAAGACTAATGATCTCCTGTTTAGCCTTAGCATACTGTTGGGGCTAGTGCTTTTAGTGAGCACCCATTAAGTGTTGGCACGACACACGAGGGGATGGGTGACCAACAACACACTCGGCTGCCTTTTATCTCTCCAGCGCTGATGTTTACACACAACACCAGCTACTCGTATAAGGCTGAATTGACCTGAGTGGAGACGCAGTGTCGGTTCAGATATTTGTCACTGATGTCAGTATAATGCACTATATGCTGCAGTACCTCTTAACCGCTGCACTATTCACACGCATGCATGCACATGTGCATTCATAAACGTACATTTTGCTCCACCTGTTGAATTCAGTTCCTGAAGCTCCATCACGTGGAGAAAAACTTCAGACATCACTGTGCACGGCGCTGAGTGAGCGAATGCGCGTGCTTGTTCCTCCTGCAGGCGTTTACGAGTTCGTCCCCAACGACAGCGGCGAGGGCATGCGGCTGCAGATCAACGCTCAGAACTGCGTGCACTGCAAGACGTGCGACATCAAGGACCCGAGCCAGAACATCAACTGGGTGGTGCCCGAGGGCAGCGGAGGCCCCGCCTACAATGGACTGTGACCGCCCATCTCCTCCTGACCCCCGTTGTTATCAACACGGCCACCCCCACTGCCCTCTCCGCCCTGAGAGTGCCTGTTTTGAGTTGTCAGGACAACCAGTAGGGTCGTGGCGGACGTGAGCCGGGCTCTCTATGATGGTGCCTCCACGTCACTATTGAGACGTGGTTAGACGCAGCCTTGCTTGGCTCGCACTGCCGATAAAAATAATGTAGAGTGGAGTTTCTTGTGTTGCATTCATGGGTTAGTGGTGGTAATTGCCGCTGTTCCCGTTCCAATAATGGTGCCACAGCCGTTAAGTTTGATACCGTGGGCAAGATTTGTATTTGTATTCAAGTCAAAATTTTAATACGTTACAAGCTCCTACATATGTTTTGCCAATGAAAGTTTTTCTTTTAGCGTCGAGTTAATGTTCTGTACTTGAATGTAGGTTGATTATACATTGCCATAAAATCTTCGAGACGTAAAGTCAATGCTGTGCCTCCCTGGCTCAACTAACCTCTGCTCTGAGCCAGGGTTTGTTCTGTGTTTGGTGAAAGCGATGGCTTGAATCCTCTGAACGTACTCTAGCATTGCTGCTTTTGTATGAATCGAGCATTAACGTCTTGCATTTAAATTAAGTTTACCAACTGTGGAAAATATTAATGAGCCTCAAAGGACTGTCTCATTCATTGTATATGCAACTGTTGAAGAGTAGTGACTCGGATCTCACTGTGCTTCACGAAATTGTTGTGAAATGAGATGGTTAGGGAGTAACTTTGGGCAGTGGGAGAAAGTAAAGTTTATTGTATGACTATGGGCTCATTCAGCTTATGCCACTTTTGACTCTAAATTTGTGTGAGCGCAATGCACTTAGATTTTTGGAAAAGAAGTGTTGTGTTGAAGTTTTGTGCATGGTGGTCTTTTTTCAAGCCTTAAAAATAATATCCAAATGTATAAAACATTGTTTCAAAAATAGTTCTACTGTGATTTTTGCCGCAAGTTTTCACTAAGGGTTAAGTATTCCGCTGGATATCATTCACGAATAAAGCGTTATAACTTCAAATGTATTTTTTTTTAATCAAACCACAAACACCCACACATCCAGTGCACCAGGATTTTTTTTGTATTCTGCAAGCCCCTTCCTGTGTGAAAAGCCTTTTGTGCCATGCTGCTGGGGCCAAACCCGTGGCTTCCAACAAAATCACAGCCAATGTCACAAGCACAGGTTCTCTAGTTGACTATTCAATTTAGAATGTGCTCACAGGGAGAAATATTCTTATGAATAAACCAAAGTGTTACTGAACTGGCACTCAGGAGTTGGACTGGGCCACTAGGAAAACTGGGCATTTGCCCATTGAAACCAGTCATGGAGTTAGTTGATCTATCGCACACACTTGACCCCACTTAATTCTCAACTTCAATCTGCCTGCAAACCATATGTAAGTTGGGCTGTGGTTGGACAATTACGGGACTGTCTTAACAGTACTCAATGATTCGTAATTAGAGTGTAAAGAGCAAAAATGTAGGGCAGTGGTCCTTAGGAGGATTGTTGCTGCATATATCATGAAGGATTTGATGCATGTATTGCGAGAGTTGACGGTAATTGATGCATTGCTGAATCATTGCATGCCTCGGGGTAATGCAGTTCAAAGAAGAAAGAAAATTCATGCGTATGCATGGATTCTGAACCACTTGAATATCAGTTTGCCCCTTGTAGTTTAGTTTTTAAGCTATATGGTACATCACTTTTGAAGCTGGACGAGATGGTCACACTGCATGACCTGCGATGTCGCGAGATGACGTCGCACATCATCTGGAAGGGAAGACGCACGTGCCTCAATTCCGAAGGCGAATCTTTTTAAGTGCTGGTTGTCTTAACGTTTTGGGCAGCACTTGGATCAAATTTGGCCACTTCTGTAATGCAAGATCACGAAGAGCAACACAACTTTGCGCGCAAGTTTTGTTTTTATTTCTTTCTTTCTCATATTGAATCCGCTTCTGTCAAGAGTTATCGTCTCCCCACGTTACAGATGGGTGGAATGGACAGCTTAATGCGTTACGAGAACAACGCGTTAATAACGGGTGGGCTCCCTCCGTGCCCCCACCATTAGCCCTGCTGATGCAGACGCGATGGTGAATGCGAGAGGTGCATCCTCGTCGTCCTCCTCCTCGTCGTAGCTCACTCACGCTGTGTCCACGTGCTCTCCGGAGGGGAAAAAAAACAGCGTGGCTGACCCAGTGTCCCCCCCACCTCCTCGTCACGCCGCCAGCCTCTGTAATTGAAAACTCGTGGTGATTTTTTTCTCATGAGACTGCCTGCACCGCACTGTGCACGCGGGCCCTGTGTTATAAAGCACTGCGGGCACTAAAATGTTAATATGCGGTAGTCACTTAGACCACAGGTTCTCACCCTATATAGCCCAAGCACGTAGCGCATTACTCGTTTAAACTGCACTTTTAATTTATAATAGAGGTTTTTGGGTTAGATCGCGTCAATATATAAATGTGTCGTTTAAACCCGCCACCATCCGACACGGCCAACTAGTAAGGGTTGTCACGTAAACTGAACGTGGCCAATTCGTCACTAGTACAGCCTACATGTTAAAAACGCACTTTAGATTTAATAATAATTCGCATTTTGAGGGCACGTTCATGCAAATGGAATACAGCGTATTTTCACAGTTCAGTATTAGTACAAACCCGGATCCACACCTGAATGTCACCCTCAAAAGTGTATGAAATATTTAATGGGTTATACACGCGGATGAATTTCTCACTTGTTATAATCTGAAGTGCTGCTAGACTGCCTTGGAATAAGCACCACCACGAGAATATAAGGTACATATCCATAATACTATATTATTGTGGCATAATTTAAAGTTCTGTCCTTCAAGACATCTGGTAACCCTAAGCACAATCCATGCAAACAAATTGCCACACTACCACACACCACATCGGTATCATGAAGGACACAATAACGTGAGATTGGATATGGTGTGCCAATATACTTTCCGGAACAGAACCCCAGACTGTTCTGGTTGGAATGAAGCTATGTACTGATGCGTTTACGCGACATGGGCTGAAGCAAGTATTCCAGAAGGCTTTTTGTCGCTGTGTGCTTGGCTTGTCATTCATTGTAGCTGGATTTTCATGCGGTGTGCGTCTGCACAGGCTGCTTTGCGAGAGCACATGCGTTGGGGAAGCACAGAGTGGCAACCCCCCCCTCTCCCTCCCCAAGTGTACGCGGCCTGTTTAATTAATGTCTGGTAATTAGCTCAGTGTGTGGTTGGCATGGTACCTTAGTGCAAGGGATACACGTCGGCAATCCAGTCGCACTACCTGCGAATTCCAAAGCTGCGCCAGAGTGCGTCTGATGCAGTCACATTTTTAAAGTGAAGATACTGTCTATTATTTTGACAATGCAAGTACCCATTGATTTCGAAGAGTGGTGACTTTTTATAGTTTTATTTGGCTCAAGGGTCAAACGCCATCTCGTGTTGGCTTACTCTTCCGAATGACCACATCGCAGAATACAAAATGTACAAGCGACAGCAATTAAAAAGGAAGCAACAAAAAAACCCATTTATGGTATTAAATGGTAAAACTCACATGACTAGAAGCGTCCAAGCCAAGTGTGACAGGCGTGTGTGGGTCTGAAGGGCATGGCTTGTTTGGTAGTGTTGGTGTCACAGAGCATGGTAAGGGGCACTGACAAGGGCACTGTCACACTAGTGTGCACAAATATTTGTGTGGATGAGGGGAGCGGTGGTGTAGTGATTACCGCACTGTTCTATGAACCCGGCCACGTGAGTTCATTCCTGGCCAATATCTAACATCAGTGGTGAACATCTGAACCAGTCCTGAATCTCTCCGAGGTGAATTCAGCCTTAAATTAGTACACGGTGTGGAGTATAACCATCAGCACTGGGGATAAAAATGTGGCCGGACGAGCTATTGGCCACTGTACCCCTCCATTGACAATACTAGCCTTAATAGGTGTTCGTGAATAGCAATGACCCTAGCCTATGTTATCAGGCCATCATTTATTAAGCATATTGTAATAGTTATCAGTATCACCAGCAACATACATGTATTTCTGGAGTGTGATTTTGAACGTGCACCAGAGTCCCGAGCCAGCATAATCGTCAAACTTCATAAAACAGATACATTCTCAGAAGTAACTTAATAGCCTCGGACCTTGCTGTAATAGATACTGATTGACTCAAGGTTGTGGAATGCTGCTAAGTGGCATTGTTCTTAATGGGAGAGTCAGAATGTAGGTCTCGTCTCTTGGGAACCATTTTGCACTGCACCTGTGCTCATTATTGTATTACTCGCCCCCTCTGACATGACCTAATGCAAATTAATTAAGCTCAACCTTTTTGGCCAAAGCTTTCCTAAAAACACCTCTGAGGTGGAGATTACCGTAGTTTTCAACTGAGAAATAAAGGTGTAGGCTGGCTCCACATGGAAGCCCCTGGTGCAGTAACACTGGTTCGTTCACAGAGCCATAAGTCGAATTTCACGAATTCCCGTTCACGGTTAACCTCAGTCGCGAATGCTATCTGAACTGGTCCTGGACCTCTCCTTCACCAAGATGTACTGACCAAAATGAAGTATGGTCAAACAACCCCTGTGGCCGACATGGGGTGGGGAGGCCCTACATCCAGCAGTGGATTTACAAGAAGACTGTCAATGTTTTTACATATATGCACAGGGACCTCAAATCGGTTTTGCTTAACTAGGACAGGTTTCGTCATGTAAAAAAAGGTCTGCTGCCCTGACAACACAGATTGAGCCGGCTGAGTGGTTATGTCACCGTACCCTGTGTAGCGGGTCTCTGCTGCTGGTATTGGGTTCAGTGTGCAGCGGGTTCATCAGGGCAGTGCGTCGCGGGGTCATGCACGAGAAAATCTCCGGCTCACTCTCGACTGAGCCTGCCTGGTGCAAATAGAGCCGGAGCGAATGCGAATGGCACGGATAGTTACCCCAGTACGTGAATATTGCCAGAACGGTGCTGAGGGTGCAGAGAGAGAGACTTCGGTCGGAGTGGCGTATGCAAATTCTGTAAATACCTTACCGCTATAGTCCTGAACGATGCTGGCTTGTGCTGCCCTAAACTATAATATACCAATAACCCTACACGTAACACCTTCCCCTACGTTTAACCAACGTTTAGCAATTTCCGTATGCTTAATCCTAAGCTTACATTTTAATGACAATCCTACACTGAAACCAAAACACGACACTACCTTTAAACCTAAGTGAACACTTAACCCTCATCCTACACATACACCTAATCCACACTTACCATTAATCATACGCTTATCCCTAAACTTACGTCTAACACATAACTTTTAACAGTTAACACCAACCTCCACCTCACCCTCATTCTAACCTTGATCATTATTTATACCCCTAACGATAACTATAGCTTACACTTAACCATTTTGACAATAAAAACTAACCTGCACTCTAACCTTAATATTACCCCTAACAGTATCTCTAACCTACAATTATCCTTTGAGAATATTAACATCAACCTACCCATAGCTATACCTCTCGGTCTTGTATATGTACGAATGTTGAACTTCTTTCGCACCGTACATATCCAACCGTGCTAATCGGAGGTGCCGCAGGTCTGCGGAAAATCGGAGCCCTTCGCTTGCTCTCTGTGATAACAAAAAAAACCACCGTAACCCCTCATTCTACATTTGCCATTTTTTTTTACCTGTGGCCAGTTAACCTAGACACGTAACCTTTACGACGATGAGCGCTCACCTCCCTCGAGCACTCTCCGCACCCGCATGGCCCACGAGCAGTGCAGGATCAGAGTGTTCTCGTAGTCATGACGGGCAGGGGGTTGTGGGGGGGTGCTGGTAGCACATTGCGTCCGGAGCTTAATCATTCACCGAAACGAACTTGAGACTCGACAGTCACCTCCGTCGTGTGACGCTTTTCAGTCATCGCTGGCCCTAGTGGGAACGGCGTTCCCTCTCGCCGTTTCGTTTGTAACGGGCCTCTTTGACTCTGCTGACGAGACGAGGAAAGACAAAACGGTGTGGCCCTATAAGTTTGCTTGCCGAAAAGCAAGATAGACGATACAGCACTGGCTGGGTGGAGAATTTACACGCAAAAAAACCCCCGCATTGCTTCAGAAGTCCCACACCGCGTGACGGATGAATCCGCGAGATGTTCACCGCGTGTTCACTCACGCTCCCTGTTTTTGAGAGATGTCCACCGATTAGCAGGGTTAGGGCTTCCGTGCAACGTACGGTGCGAAAGAAGTTCAACGTACAGTGCATTCGTGCTCACGCTCGCCGTGCTGTGAGATCGTTTGTTTGTGTGCGCACGCTTGCCGTGTTGAGTGATGTTTGCTGTGTGCTGCTACGTACGGTGCTAAAAGAATGAAGTTCGCGTTGTTCCGTGTCGTAGTTATGAGCCGATGTCACTCTCGGCTATGGGCCCCGTGCCGTTTCCACGGTGAGGCCCCAGCAGTTTGCATGTCCTCGTTGCCAGGACAAGCGCAGTCGGCTCTCGTCACGACACTCAACCCCCAAAGCAAATACATAAACACACGCAGCTCACACGCAGGGGGGGGGGGGGAAGGGAGCGGTGGCGGAATGGTTAGCGCACTCGGCAACGAACCCGGCCACCCAAGTTCAATTCCGTGGCGAGTGGAATCTGAACCGGAATGGAGGCACTGCATCACCAACAAACCCCTCACTGACCAGCGTGGTGATGAAGTATGGTAAAACCAATCCTCGTGACCAACATGCCCGTGGAAGGGCCTTCACGTATAGGGGGGGGGGGGGGTGTAAATAATTATAAACAAATTTTGCTAACACTCTCGCACGAAGCTTAGTTAAGGGGAACAACAAAAATGCTTTAAATGTTATGGGTCAGGCGAGTCGATATTAGATGACAGGCATCAATGCAGTGATATCAACTGGAGTGTTGTGGTGGACCGTCTAACTAAACAACCTCTAAATACAAATAAAATAAAAATAATCCAGCAGTTCCACTAATAATGAGTTGAAGACGACCACTTGTGTTGCGATCGAAACGTCGTGATATATAATTTTTAATTTTATTTTTCTATCTACGTGACTTTACCGAAAGAACCAAAGAGAATGGATTCCTGCTATCACGAAAGCTTAAAATCAAGATTGAACCTCTAAAGAGTTTACAAATTCTTATCGGGCATGGGTTGAGCTTTTACCGTGTGGGATTGGGTCTGAAGCGCCACTACTGAGGCACATTTATCATAATGCAGAGGAAGGGGAATCATTTTAATTGATGTATTCATCCTTGATAAATAGGTGATAGAGAGGAAGACCTGACAGAGAATGGCTTGACGACGAAGATATGGCACTACTTGAGCATATTGGCACAAGACAGAGGAAAGTAGCAATAAATGACGAAACGTGCAGTGGACAACTACGGGCTATCCACCCATGGACCGTGATGATGGTGAGAATCCACTGACACACTCTTCTTTTTAAAGATCTGGGAGAGGCCAGCGGGTTTTCCCTTGAAAACGGAACCAGCATGGCAACGTTTAACGAGGCTTTGGGGTTACAAGTTCAATCGGGGATCAGTTTGCGTGGGCATTACCAGCCCTCACGCTGGTACCAATGGCACGGGGTTGCCGGGAATTACCACGAATATTAAAGTCGCCCTGTAATCCATCTCCCCGCAACCGGTGTGTATGCATTGCGTACCCTCATCCGAGCACTAACCAGGCTCAATTTTCCTTAGCCTAGCTTCCGAGAACTGACACGGTGCAGTGAAGAGCATGCAAAAGTTGTACTACACTTCTTTGCTTCCGAGTCTGTGCTCCCTGCCTTCACCAACCCGCACTGCCCAGCGTGGCGAAAGGTTAAACAACCCACAAAGGCACGAGGCCACTCATCCAGCAGTTCATTGACATTTATCCGGGAGAGACTTAAGTCTTTTTCAAGGAGGTCAGTTTTGGGCAGTTCACATTTAAAATCGAGTGCTCTTCGTGTCGGAGGAACCCAGAGTACCGTATCCGGAGAAAATTCAAAGGTCGACATAGGTTTCAGGAACCCACCTGCAATACTGCCATATTCCCAACTCTCATCCCACAGCGTCCCCCGGAGTTGAACAAATTGCTGTATCTGCTGCCGTTCATCGGCCCTTGTCTCCAAAGCCCTGCATTTCAGACGGACGCGCCTGCTCTTTAACATTATTAAATATTATGTCTGCACTGAGCGGCAGGCGGGGGAGCCCCACGCGTTCGTGTTCTGTCCGGGGTTTAATTTGAGCGATGTCCGTCACCGGTTGGTGACCCCCCCCCCCCCCCCAAAAAAAAAAAAACGTGTCCGCGCCCGGCACACCACGTCCAGTATACCCCTCGCTACGGATGTGGATACTCGTTACGTAACGATCACCAGTACCATCGCAGAACGCACATGAAATAGAGCCGAGCAGCTCATAGTGCCCCTTACTGCCGAAATAAATCAACTCTTTATATATATAAAAAAAATCGACCCAGTAAATATTTTCGAAACCGGCACACCACATCAAGTATAAGTTCATCTTTGCTATGCTTGCGGCTACCAAGTGCCCTACCTACTCCAGTCTGTCATCGACCCGCAGAACGCTGTGCTCAGCGAGACAATTAAAGCCACCGGTGGCGGAGGGGGGGGTGGCTTCTGCCTCGGTGCTGGAGAGCGGCCACGCCGTGCGGCGATGGCGCGACAGCGTCACGTGGAAGCGGCTGCTGGTGGCGCAAGGAGCGACGCCGCGCTCCCAGCGGCCGGACACTCGGACGGACGGACGGGGGACGTCTGTCCCGGGCAGCAAACGCATTTCCCATCGCGCGTCGCTCAAAAACACCCGGCCGGCTCTCCTGCGAGCCAATTGCGAGCGACCCCCTGGAGGCGGGATGGGGTCATGACGCACGGCGTCGGCTCCTCAAGGGCAAACGCCACTGTACGGCGGCGGGCACTGATCGGCGAACCTGCACCCGGCCGGAGGGTTAATAAGGGGACTTGCATATACAGCTGGGGGTAACCTAATGTTCACAATCACAGCATTGAGCAGTGACACCAAGCACATTTTGCAGATTCTTAGTGGGTTTTTTTTTTACTGGGTACAATAACGATTTAATTCCGCGCGATTCGCGATTTACGAATCGAGAAAACCACGGTTTTAACAGTCTCATTGGTTCCATGAGCCTTCTGTCATAATTTGCACGAGTAAATAATCGATATTTTTTCACGCTCGAATCAACGCACGTTAACAATCGATCAACTGTCGTTTGCTAAGCTTCAATTAAATCGCGTTTTTTCTGTGAACCAATTCACAATTTGTACGAGACCGTTATCTAATCCGCCACTCACGATTCGACGCATGTAAGACACGACGAATTATGTTCCCTGCCTTAATTGTAGCAAGGCATGTGGTGGAGCTTCCTACAAAGGTCACAGACATCACGAAGTGACCTTCGGCACGGACTCCACGTGTTCCCGCGCGCACCTTCCCGCGCCACGTGCAAGGTTAACGTTCCCGCGCCAGACGACCAATCAGCGCGAAGAGATTACATTACTGTCGCGCGACGTCACATTCCGTCGGCCAATCCGCGGCGGAAGGAGGAAACCCACGCCTCTTGCTATGACGTAATAACAATTACGCGCCAAAAGCAGCACGCTGTGATTGATAGATTATGTATTATTGATAGATTATACATTAATAGATGCCCTTTAACCAGGTGGGAGGCACGATACAACGTGGGTTACATAAAATTACACAACCGACAGCAATAGAGTTTGCAATTGAATAAACGCAAATCACGTACCACGTTTGTCACAAGGCACGACCCGTACGTTAAATGTGTAAAATTATCCGCAACTTAATTGTAAAACTAAAATTGTCTTTTTGGGTAAAAAAACAACTATATTTGTACACGCCCCTTTATTAACGACGTCACGACTTCGGTACACGCCCCTCTTCCCCCCCCCCCCGCATGCTGCTGCAGTAGTGACGTCACCTATCCCGGCATGCACGTGTCACCAAAAAAATCCCCACCCCTCCCTTCCATTCCCTCATCAAGACGCAGATCCTGCAGTGAAGACGTCACAACCCCCTTTTTCACCCCTCCCCCTTTCACCGCAACGAACGCTGCCCGCCAATCAGAGCGCTACAAATCCTATCAGGTCCCGTCCCCCCCCCCTCCGCGCGGGTTACGTAAGTCGAAGTCACGCGCGCGCCAACCAATGGGATAACGGCGGTAGCATTCTCGCGAGATTAGAGCGTTATATATATGCTCCGTGCACTCTGCGTCGGCCATTTCGTCCGACAAGGCGAGGCAGAAACGTCTGGGCTCGAGCAACATCAACCAACAGAGTCTTAACAACGAAAATCCAACTGTTAAAAAAAACAAAAAGTAAAATTCTAAAAAAAAAGAAACTAAAGAGAAACCATGACGGAACAAGCGATCGCTTTTGCCAAGGATTTTCTCGCGGGCGGGATCGCCGCCGCGATTTCCAAGACGGCGGTGGCGCCTATTGAGCGAGTGAAGCTTCTGCTGCAGGTACCGTATCTCGCAGCACGGTGGTGGTGGGGGGTCAAACACGGTTATCGCCAGTAGTGCTGGGCGCAGCTACTGGCGCTTGCCCGGTTTGACACAGCGGGGGTGGGGGGGGGGGCACACGGAGCCGGCTCTCGTCGCACACACGGCCTCAGTGTAGGGGGGGGGGTGATGAGGAGCAGCAGCAGCCGCGCTAAGATGGCGGCTAGAGGTGACCCCGTGCGGTAGCCGGGTCCCCCACCTCCTGTCGCCGGGAACGCCGCGCTAGCGACGAGGGCTTCCCCACCCACCCCCACCCCACACACTTTGTCTCGCCCTCGCAAGGTCGCCCAGTTGTACGTTTAATTTCCACGTGGTGCAATTGGCCGGCACCACCGACATTTTGTGTTCGTTTAAACAGTCATTCAACCACCCCCCCCCCTACAATTTCCGCTTAAGGTGGTTTACTGCGCGTGCAAGCGGTGTCGTGTAACGCGGTCGCCGCTGAATGGAAGTTCAAGAGCCCAGCTGCCGCCCCGATTAATAATGCTTCTGTATTAATCGATAAAATACGCGCCGTGTGTTTCGGTGAACGTTAAAGGCCCCGTGGCGTCATTCGCAACAGTAGGTCATTATTGTGTGCAGGCGTGAGAGTCCCAAATGTTTAAAATTGCAAAAAAATGCCAGCAAATTACTCCATTTGATTAAATATAATTATCGCCCCCCTACTTCGAAAATAAAATAACCTTAACATGACCCTGCCTATGGTGGCCTTTGCCAACCGTATATAGCATGATCGATGCTACTCTGGTCCAATCTTAAAACCAGCCACTACTGTCTTTAATCGTCGAATGTACACATGCAATGCAGTTATCTGTGGGATCATCGCATGAATTGTTTGTACAAAGTATATACGCCATTGTATAAACACACGCAGTGAGATAGCTACATAAATGATTACACAGGATGTGTAGGCGAGACAAAGTTGGTTCGTCTAAACTCTTAAAGTGTGGTGAGAATAGATGGCACTGCGGTATTTTGTGTGCGTTCGGTGTATTATTCATAAGCGGAGGGAAGTCGAGGCTTAAAGTGATAGTCCGAAATGGGGAGGAAGTGACAATACGTCAGGGGCAGCAGCTGAGCGGGTGCCACCTACCTACCTTTGAGGGCTCAGGGATGCCTCTTGCTCTCGTATTTAACATCCATACACCTCCATACACTTGAGATGTACATCTTACGTGTGTCCTGTCGATTCTCTGCGTGGCTGTGCTATCGAGGAGCTTTACAATGGCTCGTGGGATGAAGAGTGTGGGATGGGTTAAAGATTAATTTGAACGCCCTGTGTGATACGAGGGTATTATTAGGACGGACATTAATTTGTTTTTAGTAACTTAGTGTTAGGGCGGGCATGGGGGAATTGGTTTTAGTATCTAATTCCTATTACCTATTGCATTCGTTTATCCGGGATATTGAGTTTAAAAGTGTTATAGAGTTGGATGCAATAATTAAAGCCGCTATTCACGCTGCATGTCTTAATCCAAGCTCGCAGATTCGCGCCTCTGTTTATCCACCGAGTAATTATTGGACGTAGCTTTGTTTCATGAATTAAAGACGCTCCGTTGAGCAAACTTCAATTATTAAATGATTCCACGCATAGGGCGCAATGACCTGCCGCCAATGGGTTTAATCTTCCCGCATTAGGGCTGCGTAATGCCCCCCATCGCATAATTCATTCAAAGCCAAAATGTCCCTTGTTGGCTGCTGTAGTTGGTTTCGCTATTGCGAACACGCTCCCTTTCGCGGCTTTGATTGTCTTCGAAGCGGCGCAATTAATAATTGAACGAGGAGCTGACCTTGCCGGTGAGGATCACCTTCGTAGAAGCTGAGCGGACAAGGGTCGCGTAGGCTTCGTCAAGGTTGAAAGTTTAACCCTGTGTTTCTGATCTGGTTTATCATAGATTACGCTTAAGCGTAGCGAACGCGATATATTCAGTGCCACAGTTGAGCACATTAAGCCTGCTTTAACAAAGGGTTCGACATCTGTTTGAGCTGTTAAGTGAAGGTGTTTTTATTAAACCGACGCATCGTGCATAAGTTGAGGATTATAAAAAAAAACTGCGTTTTTAAATACCGACCTTTGGTTTGGTGAACAAAGGTCCGTGCCTCGCCAATCGGTCCGTTGATTTATCGGCACATCCCTATTAACAAATGTTTGACCTGTTCTCGTTTGATGAACCTGATAAAATACAAGTCGGAACATTTCCTGGCGTGCCAGAACGTCCTCTGCCCATATAAGAATTCTTGTTAAGTTATTTTCTTTACCCCCCCCACCGGAGGCGGAAGGAGCACACGCCTCTTAATTCCTCGTTCCGTGCCGATTCCACCCCTCGCCTGAAGCCATTCATTCGGAGTCTAGAGACGGAACCGGCTTTCCCACCGAATAAAAGACGGGGGGTGGTGGTGGGTGCGCGTTGCTACGTCCTTCCAATGGCGTCCGTCAAAAACCCAGCGATATTTAACGCCTCGTTAGGGGGCGCAATTTTCTATCTATTCACGCGGGGTAAAGAAGACAATGTGTACATATTTTACTGGGTGCTCCTTTCATGCTATAAGGCAAGCTAGGAAGGGCCCAGCCACGTTTAATACTGGATTCAATGCATGGTCAATTCTTACCCGTCAGTATATTCGTGATGAGCTGCGTAATTCAACAGTCTTACTAGAATGCCTCGGCACAGATTCAGACGCATTCTGCCAGCACGCGTTGAACTTTTCGCGCACCGTACGTAGCCAACCGTGGTAATCGGAGGTGCGAGGTAAAAGACAGACTAAACACAAAGCGGATCTAAATAAATACATTTTCAATCTATATTTCAAAGTGCATAGCTCCATTTGCTTCCGAATATCGCAAAACCATTCCAGATGGCCGCAGAAGCTTATTTGAAAGTACGCGATGCCAGTGGCCATCTTTGTTTCACGGCGAGCCAAAAGCTGCTGCGAGGATGACGGGAGTTCAAGTGATCCTTAATGCTCCTTGACGAGATGATTGGCCCGTCAATGTAGCCGATTGGTTTAACGTGTATTTTTATGTAGCATTTAAATGCAAACTGCATCTCGAGTTTGCGCGGTGAGTGATGCGATCTCCATTGCTCTCTCCCACAGGTGCAACATGCCAGCAAGCAGATCGCCGTGGACCAGCAGTACAAGGGCATCATCGACTGCGTGGTGCGCATCCCCCGAGAGCAGGGCTTCGTGTCGTTCTGGCGCGGCAACCTGGCCAACGTGATCCGCTACTTCCCGACGCAGGCGCTCAACTTCGCCTTCAAGGACAAGTACAAGCAGGTCTTCCTGGGTGGCGTCGACAAGCGCAAGCAGTTCTGGCGCTACTTCGCTGGCAACCTGGCGTCGGGCGGCGCTGCGGGCGCCACGTCGCTGTGCTTCGTGTACCCCCTCGACTTCGCCAGGACGCGTTTGGGCGCCGATGTGGGCAAGGGCAACGCGCAGCGCGAGTTCACGGGCCTGGGCGACTGCCTCACCAAGATCTTCAAGTCGGACGGCTTCCGGGGGCTCTACCAGGGCTTCAATGTGTCCGTGCAGGGCATCATCATCTACCGCGCCGCCTACTTTGGCATCTACGACACGGCCAAGGGTGCGTGCACATCGCCAGCATGAACTGCAGACTCTGTATGTTGCAGTGATTACTGGGATTAGTCGTCGGTGTTGTTGATGGCACTTATGGAAAGTGACAATTTCACTGTACTATGGCCAGTAGCCAGTTCCTGTAAGAGACTGCAGTTATCCACGATGCAGTTACTCCATTTATTAGATGTGTAAGCTTATGCAGTGACCATTACATCGGAACTCGCCACAACCAGAAGTTACGGCACAGATAATGCAGTTAATCACAGCAGTTACTGCACTTGTTGTTAGTTATGTCACTGCACAGTGAAACTAGGAGTCTCAATACACATACTATACTATTTGATACGTACTGCTGGTAGCTGTCTTGGGCATAGCCAAGTAGACCTTGCAACCAGTAATCATGACCCCCCAACACACTGCACTCAATTGAATGCCTCTTTCAAAACATTGTTTTTGTGTCTGCCGGTGTGTGCAGGCATGTTGCCAGACCCCAAGAACACCCCCATCGTGGTGAGCTGGATGATCGCCCAGACAGTAACAGCTGTCTCTGGCTTCGCCTCCTACCCCTTCGACACTGTGCGTCGGCGCATGATGATGCAGTCCGGCCGCAAAGCAGGTGGGTTACCTCCATTGTTGGAGGTTGGGGGCTGGTTTACACATGTGCAACGTATGTGTTAGCCGCAGCACTCAGGAATGGAATTTATTAATGCATGTTTGTAACAAAACAGATTACTTGGTTATGGGTTACTTAGCCTACAGTAAGAGCCAGCAGTGACGTTTCACGGATTGTCATGCATTTACCATGATAGGTGGCTCATTGTTCTCATCGGTAATTTGCTTTCGTAGAGGGTCAATGTTAGGCTTGTGATAATTGAAGCAATTGTGCTGCATGCACCTGCATATCAGCAGCATAACCACAATACCAGTTCAATACACTGGTGGTATGATTGCACTTGATAATTGTGTCGTTATCAAGGATATGGGACTTACTTGCTCAGGGGACGGATATTTCAAATTTGCCCACTGCCCAATAGCCTATTGCTTGCAGATTCAAACATTAAGTAACGGTCAGCCAAAAATGTACGAGTTGTCGCAATGCTTTAATTAAACGGTTATCTGTCGTGCAGCTGACATCATGTACACGGGAACCATCGACTGCTGGAGGAAGATCGCTCGCCAGGAGGGCACTCGCGCCTTCTTCAAGGGCGCATGGTCCAACGTGCTGCGCGGTATGGGTGGCGCATTCGTGCTGGTCCTCTATGACGAAATCAAGAACGTCATCTAAGCGACCGCGAGCCTGGCTGCTCTGCGCTGCTACCCTGCTCTGTTTCCTGTGGCCGGCAGCGCCGAAAAGGTTAACTATAGCCAAAACCGCTCTATTTTTTTCTGTTGAAAGGATGATAGGTTTTTGTTTGCGCCCCTCTCCGTTCCACATTTTCAAAACAATAAAACTTAAGAGGGACATGAAACACAATTGATAAGCTCTTTGCTCCTGCAAACTTCTATTCCGTGTCCATTTCAGTTGCACTGGCTGGTTCACCGTGCGTGGAATTCCCCATCTCGTGACGATGGTTTTTTGGGTTGTTGCCCTTGCCCGTTTTTGTGAAGGTGGTTCCCTTGTGCTTTCTGCGCGCGGGACAGGCTACGGTTTATATTCCCGGTGTTGGGTCACGGCTGTTGTTGTGCGCCCACCTTGCGAGCAGTGTGCGGGCAACACCAAGCGAGTTTAAAAGAATGACGGTGATGAATCAGAAATTGAAACGTGGATTTGGCTTGGGATAATTTTTTTGGACATGCTTGACAAGTGTGGTGGTTCAGATTTGCTTTCCAACATTTCGGTTTACGGTAATGTTTTCTTTCTAAATGTCGGCGACGGTGGCAGGGAGGACGGGCGTTCATTCCAGTAACAATGCGATGACACAACTGGTGTACTGCACATTCAAGGGACCGACTTTGTCTAAATGTCTGAGATTTGCATGTAAAATGTATGGCCATTCCACCGCCCTCTCCACTGTCGCCAGCTGTCTGTCTGCAAATGTTGCCATTTGAGCCAGCCGGTCTGTACATTTTTGTAAGAGGAAAAGTGCAACAAAAAGGAGAAATAAAATATTTGTTGGACCACGGTTAAGTTTTTCTGTGTCTGTGTGCACAATTGTTTAAGCAACTTTTATTTATGACTGAGTGAGGGGGGAGAATGTGGCTGTTGAATCTTATCTTGGAATCGTAATAAAGGAACCTTACACGACACCTGTGTGGAGCTGATGTGGCTTTGACACTGCATCTGGGTCCATGTACATTGTAAAGGTGCATCTAGTGGAAGGGCCTCCAGTTGAGCATAACAGGTTTCTAGAGCAGTGGCTGCCAATCTTGCCTGACCTGCAGACCACCATACCTCCCAAAAATCACTTGTAACATCGGTAAAACGAGAGGGCGTTGTGTGAAAAAAATCCCATCTGCAACAGTTTTGTAGAACATGGCCTTTAATGACCACAGGTTGGGAACCAGTTCTATGGGTTATTACAACATTTTATTTTTCAGAAGCAACCTGGCCACATAGCCCATGAAGTGGCTTATGTGAAAATGTATAGCAGCCAAATACTCTAAACACTTCTTAAAAATGGGGGGAAACTGAAAGACGCGGAGAAAAATCCATGACCACGGTGAAAACATTCAAATGAATATACAGCAAGTGTCGGTTGGGGTAGAACAAGACATGTTACCAGGCGAGGTAGTTAACATCTCACCACCGTGCTCCATTTGGTTTGGCCACATGGGCCATAGGTCTTAGAAGAAATATGAATATAGACAACTCGCCACAAATGATATGCCAATTGACAGGTGGCAGCATCCCTAAAAACATGGGTTTTTGATTCCCAGGTTTCCCAATCTGCTTGTCCAAGTGTTGGAAAGTGTCCACCATCAAGGCCAATTAGGCATTGAGATATCTGCCTAGCATTCCACTGCTTTGTATTGGCGTTGAAAGCCAGGATTGGTGCCTTGTAACTGGCTGCTCAACTGTGGATAAGACTTGTCCTGCTTTTACCGAATTAACTGTCCTCTGTCGAACCAAATGATTCCAACAACTTAAAATAGATCCGTGTTCCACAATGAAAATCTTAACGAGTCATAATTTCCCTTCATTTACATTTATGGAGGAAACCAAGAGATACGTTTACGTAATTTCCTATGTAGATTTACAGATCGCATAAGGCAAGTAGCTTTCTGCCACCCGACCCTGAGTGAAGATGTCAGGATCTCAAGTTTGAGGTGCTGATCCATTAGGAGTAGGTAAAATTTACATTGATGGACAACCACACCATCTTTGGTAATGTTAAAGTTTGGTTTCATAGGCACTCGACAAGACTGCTTGTGTACTGCTTGTAATGTCTGAAGAGGTCATTTTGCTGTGTAAAAGTGCTTCATGGTCAACTCTAATACCTGAAAATGCACATAAATAATTTAACAATATTGCACGTCTTGTGATTCATTCAGACGCTTAATTAGGAAAAGGATCATACATGTGACCAGATAGATGTAGGTGGGTCGATCTCCGCAGACTCACAACTCCCCGTGTGTCACTTTGAGTTGAAACTCCTCGGTGATGTCTGGGTCACACTGGAAGGCCTGCAATTCAACCAAACGTGAGGGAATTTGCATTGTAAAAATGGTTTGCATTAAGAGAAACACTTGTACTGGTACTGTACTGATGTCAGCCCAAAAGGGTTTGTTTAACACGTAGGCTTGAAAGGGTTTTGCAACACTTTCAATACGTCGGAATTGTTTTTAATGCTGTACTGCCACCACCTGGCCACATCATAAAACAACAGGTTTGGGAGTATGAAAACAAGAATACATTTCACCCATTTTTATTTTTTAATACTTTGATATTGGCAAAAAAGGTCCCAGGTTTGGGAATTTCACAAACTTACATTTTTACGTGTGCTTGGCTACTATTCAGGTAAAGTGCTCAAATTACCTAAAATGTAGATTTTTTTACAGAAAAGTGGCTTCACATTTAAACTGTTAAATCATTCATAAATAGCACTGAAAACAAGTATGAGTGAGATTAAAATAAAATGTTACGTGAATAAAATGTTTTGCTGCTTCAACAGCATCAAGGTTTACACCGAGCATCATCAGGATGTTAGTTCGGATCTCAAGTGAAATCCGAAGTATACAAGAGAATAGTTTTTCCCCTTTTTTCTGTCAAATAAACAGGTGTCAAGATTTGGATTTAAAGCTTTCGTGACTGCAGGGATTCATATTCTTGGTTATTTCGGTAAAATCACGTGGAAGGGAACCAATAAAATAATAAAAATATAAAACTACAATTTTCACGACGTTTCGACTGCAACACAAGCAATCATCATCAGGTGTGAAACCCACAGCAAGAAAATTTGAAAAAAGAGCCAGTGAACTCAAGCACGTACACCAAGCTCTTAAGGCTAATGGTTACTCCGACTACACAATCCGCGAAGCGATCACTGCAACCATGAAGAAGGACCCTCTTGAGCCTTTCAAAACCATCACTTTACCCTACATTGTGGGGATCACAAAAAAATATCTCCAAAATCTTGAATAAACACAAGATCCAGGTCCGATTCAACACATAAAATCCGTAATCTGGTTCCGTCTGTAAAAGATGTGATTCCGGACATACAGTACCCTGACGTCTACAAACTAAGTTGCCTCTGTGGTAGTAGTTACATTGGAGAAACCAAACAACATGTCTCGGACCGCAGTCGTGAACACAAAGCAGACCTATAACACGGTAGGACCAACACCTCGGCCGTGGCAGATCATTGTTATAATTCAGTAGGCTCACATGACATTGACTTCTCCAAGACAGAGGTTCTCTGCAAATCATCTGGCTACCATGAGAGATTCGTTCATGAGGCTATCCACATATACAAACACAGAGACAATTTCAACCGAGAAGATGGATTCTGGCTTAGCAATCATTGCAAGGATTTGATAAACGATTTCCGGTCTTAATTGATTGTTCAAGCTTACGGTGGCTTTCAGACCGCATCCATTATTTTTGTCTCCCCCCTCTTTTCCGAACATAGATGGACTCGTCCATCTGAACAAACTGCCAAATCGCTCTCCGTGGTGCTAACGTTAAAATAACGCCCCTTTTTCAAATTTTCTTGCTGTGGTTTTCACACCTGATGATGATTGCTTGTGTTGCAGTCGAAACGTCGTGAGAATTTTATTGTTTTATATTTGTATTTTATTGTTTCCCTTCTACGTGACTTTACCGAAAGAACCAAGGTGTTAAGATGTTAAAACACCAAACTGAAACCTTTTACAAGGAATCGTGTGCATTAACCACAATACTTGTGGTCAGAATGCAAACAAAAAACATACTTTGATAGTATATTCTCATATTTTGGTACTGGCAAAGGAGGTCCCATGACCTCAGTATATAATTACGGCATCATGTTTTAGGTAAAAAAAATCCTGAAAAGTATCCACTTGCCACAAAGTGGACATCTGGGATTTTGTGGCATCACTTGCAAGAGAGAGAGAGAGACAACACACGCACACGTGTGTCTTGGGATCTGAAAAAGACCTTGGAATAGTAGTGCCGAGCCCGCACCGGGTCGCGTGCCACACCCTGGCCCAACTCCAGGCAGCGTCCGTAATAGAACGCAGCCATTGCGATGCCTTTGCTGATGTACGTAGGGAGGCAGTCGGTTTCCCGAGCCACACGCGCCACATCCATGGCATCTGCCACCCTGGTCGCCACACAGTGCCGGCTGGAGGTCACTCAACTTCAATTACAAAACGACTTTTGAATGTCAGTCTTAGATTTTGACATTACAATTTGGATTGATGTGTCAAAATGCTATGACATCGAGACCCCGCACAGTATCAGAGATGCACTATATGTTATACACGATGTAGCAAACGGTGGGTATACTTTTAGAAAGAAGTTAGAGTTGAGGAAGTTCTTTGGAAGCAGGTGTCATAGAGTAGCGTACACATCCATTTAAATTCCGCATATCAGCAGTGACAGCTCGTTGCTTTGAGTTACTTGTTACATCGCATTCTTAATAACGACATTAGCAATTACATTTCCAATATAGGAATCATGTACAGTATATAAATTTGGATTTGCAAATGTGGTATGAATTTATTTTAGATTTGTTTTAGATTATTATTTATTTTTAAGTAAAAATGTGAATGATGGCCTTTCATTTGCAGAATTTTCAGTTTCAGTGTATAGTTTAGTTTTCCCAATGTTTAGGTCAAGATGGACAGCCACATCGATAGACATCTCTAGTTAAACACTAAAGACAACAAAAACAATAATATCTCATCTTATAATAGATATAAAACTTTTAACTAAATTTGACAGCCCATAATGTACAGCCTAAGTAAATCTCGGCAAGGTAATAATGTTTGTGTTTTATCTTCCTTTACCTGGCCAAGAGACAATAAAGATAACACCTCTTGCAAAGGAAACTTGCAGGAATAAAAAGTGGGATAAATGGACACATTTAATGACAAAGCTTATAGTGGTGTTAGTGATTTGTCCATGTAACCCATACGGTCCTGACTAGGGATGGAGTGGTTCACTCCCAACCTTAATTGCCTTTGATTTAATTAATTAATAATTCCATTATCTAGTTTAGTCTTCTATAATTTGTTATATTAGCCTACATATAACATTTGCATATGGTTTACATGCATGTATCATGTCCGATCATTGAATGCCTACTCTAAGTACTGTTGTGTCATTAATTAAGTAAAAATGTTGGTCAATAGTGTACACTCTTGGATAAAGGCCTCAGCACACTGTCTTGGTTGTGGGAGTTGTTTTACAATACTTCACACCCACTGGTCAATTGGTGAAGGGTTGGCAGTCAAGAACCACCGGGTTCAGATTTTACTCACCATGCCCAGCAATCGAACGCAAGTTGATGCATTCCTAGTGCAGTACGATAACCAATCCTCCACCTGCACCCCCCTGCTCGTAACAACAAAGGTGCAATATCGAATTGGATGGAGGGAGTTTGAGACAAATACCTGCCATTGGGCAGAGGTGTAAATAAAAAGCGAAGACTAAATATAATGCAGTGCGCATCTCAGACTGGCCAACGGTGGCGGCGGTCTTCTTCTTTCGTATTGCTGATGAAGATCCAGCGCAACAACTACAATTTCACATTCAGGTGGTCAAGCAAGACAACCGCGTCAGGAGTAGCGGTGAGTATCGCTGTGATGTCTCCTTAGTATTTGTGGATCGGGAATTACGTCGTTATACGTTGTACGGTCTGTACTGGATAACCACAGTCGCAAACTGGAAATTTTTGTTATTTTATATTTGCGCATCAGGTATCCGCATCTGCCATGGTTTGTTCAGCGGATGCGGTTTATGGTGGACCTTGATCTTCGTGGAAGATCTTCCGCGTTGGGTCTTTCACTAGGTGGCGGCGGCGGTGTTGGAGCATGTGCGTTACCGCGCGGCGAGCTCGGCAGCGCGCACGTAGAGGCGGCGCGCGTGCAGAAGCGCCATCAGCTGGGCCTGGGCGTAGAGGTTGCCACGCTGCGCTGCCTCGTCCAGGCATTCCAGCGCCGAGTCGGCGTCTCGCCGCACGCCCAGCCCCAGCTTGTACATGAGGCCCAGGGCGCCCTGCGACTCCACGCTGCCGTTACCACATGCCTCCGAGTGCCAGAAGAACGCCTGTGTCGGCACAAGGGCAGGTGGATGCACAGACATATCTATAATAATTATTATTATTTGAAGCAGGGTGGTCTCCCATCAGCTTTTGAAGATATGGTTCAGCCTCATATTTCACTCAAAGCCGTACACAGAACTTGTCTAAAGCTCACTCACTGAACTCTCGTGAAGCTTCACGCGGTGTGAGTTTTGGGCCAAATTTGATGGGCGTTGCTCACCTTCTTCAGGTGCAGGCTCTCGGGGCGCGAGTAGAACATTCCCAGCATGCTCTGTGCCTTCACGCTGGCCAAGGGGTTCCCGTCATCTGCAGCCAACAGCCACCACCTGTGCAAGAGAAACATCACATGGTTGTGAACTCTGTGATATCCAGAGCTTTGAAGGATCACATTCAAGAGATATATCCTACTCTGCGTTCATACATTCAGTTTCTGTGTTCTATTGTATGCCAAGTGCTAGCCCAAGTCTCCTCACTAGGATGGCTGCTTCCACCCGTTTGCGTCACCCAGTCTGACTGAGCACACAGGGGCATTGTTAAATTCCCAAATCCACTGGATGGCAAGTTGGCCAGGAGATGGCAGTACAGCAAATGGGTTGCAAACCCATCTGTGTGGACACTTGAGTGTTATCCTCTAGCAAGTGAGGATTTTCACTGGGAATTCCAGTTTTACCCTGCAACCAAAACACTCCTCTATATCGGAATTGGTCAACCATCCGAATGCAGGATCCTTATAAAAGAGGGTCTTGAGACTCAATTATGCTTTACCGGCTACATCAGTGGCTACGTAAAACTAAATTAATTGTATTATTACACCTTACCACCGCTACCAGCTCAGGACATACAAGATGAAAGTGTCTAATGTGGACATAATATCGAGGTGAGGGCTGTTCAACTACAACAACATTGGCATTGAGAAAATACACCACCACATTCATTATCAATGTCTTAGAATACATATATGAACCTTATGGTGGGAGCCCAGGGTTCCGAATAAACGGAAGTTAAAATCGTAATGAATTTATTTTTGGCGACTCCGTCCCACCGCGCACATAAACGCCGCGACCCACCTGGCGCGGATCATTCTGTTGTCGTGTCATCCAAGCGCAGCAGCGAGGATGAATGTGCAGAAGAGCTGAACAAGCGAATGCACTCCATGCTCGGGTATGGGCAGGATCATAAGTCTTATCCAAAGCTGCTCAAACTGCCTACACGACTGAAGTCCTTTACTTGTCATAACGGTATGCATAATAATACAGTGAAACTGCTCTCTTCATTATTATTTGTGACCTACCAATGTCTGCAGCCAAGATCAATCGATGACAATCCGATTACCTGTAGATATTTAACAGATGAGATGGGTTGCACTGTTAATTCCTCCTGTTTGATAATGCTTCTCTTGCCCGTATGCATCTGTGCAGATAGGTTTTTTTTGCGGTTAAGCTATAGTCCCCACATACCGCTCGTATCAATGCGGATAAGAGGAGCGGTGACCCACTACTCTGTAGAGTAACATTGGTATAAACGCTTGTTACAATATGAACAGCGCATTGAAAACACGTACTATTTTATGTACTGTTTACAAAGTGTGTTCACAAATCCACACTGAAAAACACGATGATTGACAGAGGGGTGTACATTTTTTTCGATAGTGTGTTTAAATAGAGGTACTGCAGGTAAGTAGTTTTCAGGTTTAAAGGCATAGTTTAACAAGAAAACACTTGCCACCATCCTTCAAACCCATTGGTGAAAAAGAGCACAGTTTTTGTTTACATAATATAATGTTTATGCGAGAGCCGGGGTGCTTATGGGAACCCGGGGTCCTGCCATAAGGTTCATATAATAAGCTAATGTTTCAGAGTAGAGAGAGGTGTTTTTGGTTCTGCGCTTGTACAACGACTGCCAACGTTTGCTCTCTTGTATTCTGGCCCAATGCCCCTTGCCCCATTTCCAGTGAACAATGCCTCCTGAATAATTCCCTGTACTGCATAACCCTTATCCTATGCCTCATGCCCCCTGTCACACCATGCTGCTGCCCCTTCTCCCCTGCTCCTTGTATCATGCCCTGTGCCACACCTTTCTGCTTCGGTGTCCGACTGTTTGGCCCCGAAGCCGCTGAAGTGCGCCTGCCCTATGTTGAACATGGCAGCGTACTTGACCAGCCGAGCACGGCCACCCTCCATCTTCGTCACTCCCAGCATGCAGTCCACCCCTTTCTCCTGTGCGTATCACGGTTCAAATCCCAAGTAAAAAAATACTGGAAAATTTGAGAAATGCATAGTGCATTACTCCTGTATTTCACCACTATTGAGGTATTCCCCCAATATTGAGTAAGGGTTGGTGGATCACAGAAAGTTTGGAAAACTACAAAATCCATAGCGCTGTGAAGAGATTGGAAAATGACAAGTCAACAATTGGGTTTGTGAACCTGTCTGTGCAGACCAGTATCCCCTTGTTTTCATGCGAGGGGGGTGTTCCTTCTACTCTGGTTTCTTCCCACAACTAAACTATAATTTTGTTTGGATATTGTATGCTCTTTAAGTTGCATTTGGTGTTAAAGGTGATGCTGATTGTAATCATTCTGATGGCAATGATGTTGACAGTGATGATGCTGATGACGATACTGGCAACAAATTATTATGCTGATGATGATAATCATTAATGATGTAGATGATGATGTAGGGGAAGTTGTGGCTGTGTCTGCGGGGTGTGTGGAGGTGTGCGTCCATCTCACGAGGTCAGCCGGCATCCCGAGCGTGTCGTAGTACATCACCCCGAGCTGGTAGAGCGCCCGGGCGTCCGTGTGGCTCACAACCTCAAAGTGAAGGCGAGCGCACGCGAAACATCCCTGATCGCACAAAACACACGCACAAAACACACGCACGCACACTCACCCGACATGCACACCACAAAGCGGTGACATGGCCAAGCGGTAGCGCATTCGCTGTTTGTTGCAGAGGTTCACGGTTCAAACCCGGCAAGCCGCCGTGGTTATTACTGCAGGCGTATTAACCGTACAAATATACGTCATCCGCATCACAGTGGATAATGGACATTAAAGATGTAATTTGAAACGAGTAGGCCATTGCGTTCCGACTCCATGGTCCACATTTGAAAAATTACGTAAAAATTTCTAATTTGGAATTACACATACCAACATCGCTTGCTCCTGGCAGATGAACAGTATCTGTCTAAGAAACACATCACTTCCGTGATTGCCTTATGCTATAAGAATGGCATAAAACCACATTAATTTAACTATTATTATTAACACACACAATATGAATATACACATACAAATAAAAGGATTCCCTGTGTAGCCTTTTCACATGCTGTCGTTAGCAAGCACCTGTGGAGGTTGCCTGGCGGCCTCTGTCTCACCAGTGTTGATGTTGACACACCATCCGACTGTTGCTGGCGACGGTGAGTATGCTACGACTGAGCCACTTGCACTCGCCCAAGGAATTTTGCTGCTCCGCGCCATCGCGAATGCACATCGCCCTCGTGTGACCCAGGCTATAGGTGGTGGATCACTGTTGCTGCTACTGTGGCACCATCACCTTGTGGAAGTAGAGCTGCCCCAGGAGGAAACGCGCATCCTGGTCTCCGGCACTGACCCTCGCCAGCAGCTCCCGCTCCTCCTCGCTCGGAGCGTCGTCCACCTCACGCGGCGAATCTGACATTAAAACACAACGCTCCGATGTTACTTAGAACTTACCAAGGAGTGTATCTCAGAGACATAATTGTGATACCCACCACAACGCTACATGATGAATTCGACTTTCAGTCATGGCTGGAATAAATCATGGTCAATGGTGATGGCATGGCACCCAAAGGAGACAACAAACCCGAATGGAAAGCTCATGCACAGGAGACGTGACGGAATGTAGAGGTTTTCATCCAGCAGTGGATAAACAATGGCTGCTGATGGTGGTAATGATGATGACATAGGGACCAAATTCATATTTTTCTATAATCACATTCACTTATTTTAAATTATTCATCATAAAAATAAAATGTGTCCTGCGCACAGCACAAATTTAGTTACAGGAGAGAAAATGTTACAGATGAAAACAATTCAACCTATGACACCACAGTCCTCTGTTGAGACCAGTGGTCATAGAATTATAGAACAAAGCGAGGAACTCTGTCCTTACTTATGGGCCGAATACGACTTCTAAATACATTTGTTGAGCAACCACACAATAACACACATCTCAGTCACTTCTGACCACACAATAACACATCTCAGTCACTTCTGACCACACAATAACACATCTCAGTCACTTCTGACTACACAACAACACATCTCAGTCACTTCTGACCACAATAACACATCTCAGTCACTTCTGACCACACAATAACACATCTCAGTCACTTCTGACCACACGATAACACACATCTCAGTCACTTCTGACTACACAATAACACATCTGAGTCACTTCTGACTACACAATAACACATCTCAGTCACTTCTGACCACACAATAACACATCTCAGTCACTTCTGACCACACGATAACACACATCTCAGTCACTTCTGACTACACAATAACACATCTCAGTCACTTCTGACCACACAATAACACATCTCAGTCACTTCTGACCACACAATAACACATCTCAGTCACTTCTGACCACAATAACACATCTCAGTCACTTCTGACCACACAATAACACATCTCAGTCACTTCTGACCACACGATAACACACATCTCAGTCACTTCTGACTACACAATAACACATCTGAGTCACTTCTGACTACACAATAACACATCTCAGTCACTTCTGACAACACAATAACACATCTCAGTCACTTCTGACCACACGATAACACACATCTCAGTCACTTCTGACTACACAATAACACATCTCAGTCACTTCTGACCACACAATAACACATCTCAGTCACTTCTGACCACACAATAACACATCTCAGTCACTTCTGACCACACAATAACACATCTCAGTCACTTCTGCCCACACGATAACACATCTCAGTCACTTCTGACCCCACAATAACACATCTCAGTCACTTCTGACCACACAATAACACATCTCAGTCACTTCTGCCCACACGATAACACACACCTCAGTCACTTTTGTCACTCAACAGAGTGGGGATGAGTGGCGGAGCGCGATAATATTTAAAAAAAAAACACGGTGGCACCCTGTAAAAAATATTCCCCACTAGTGCCCAATTTCCTCACAAGCGTGGCTAAGATGCTTGCATTCACAGATGAACATAACGTTTGTGGGACGTTTCGATGTGGTGGGCTTCGTGTGGCCGTGGCCCGTATGAAATGTAATCGTGGGCTGCGTTCAGCCCACGGGCTGTAGGCCCCCCCCAGCCGTGGTTTCCAGATCAGCAGGGGGGTGCAGTCTCATTGACCTGATGGATGGGGCTTAAACTGCCCTGCTGAGGGCTCAGCCCCCCTTCTAAACTCCTACAATTTAGTACGAAAAAAATGTTGATCAAGGAAAAATATGTAACACTCATAGTAATGAAACGATGGGCGTCACAGCCTTTCTTCAAGTCAACGGGAACTGAGAGCTGCAACAGAATGTTCATAGACAAAATCAAATCATATGCTCACTCATTCCGTTCAAAGTTTAACATTTGTTCGAAGATTTACATGGACTATGTTGTACACACCCGCTCGCCCCCCTTCACCCCAGTTTTTGTATGCCCTACGTTAAACAATATCACACTACAGGGCTGGGCAAAGGTGCCCTTTACAGTGAACGTGCAAGCACAGTGACTGGTACCGCAGTGCAACACGAATGAGATGAGAGGCAGTGAGTTCAGGGCTTGTGCTGGGCCACGCCAAGTCACCTGAGCCTCTTGGACACGGTGATCGTGATGCTCAATGACAATCACGAGGTATTTACAGTACTATGCATTGAACTTCTGTCGCACAGTACGCAGCCAACCGTGCTAATCGAAGGTACGGGGAAAGATCAAGAAACTAAAAAAAAAACCAGACAGAAATTCGTTTTCAATCCAGATTTAAAAGACGACGATGTTTATGAAGCGTTTGATTACCCGTAGAATACGTTAGGTTAACTGTGGCCAGTTACATACCATTCATTAAGACAAACATCGCATTGTGCAACCGGGCCACTGAACCTCGACTCATAGTTTTCATAGTTTATTTATTTGGTATAGCCCTGTGAGCCATTCGGCTCTTGAATCGGGTGCAACCTCAACAAACAAAAAACATGAACAAGAACATATCTTAAAGTGATTATGTGACTGTGCAAACAGAAAATCCAGGAAAAAAAATCAAAATATTCCTGAAATAGCACCGTACACCAACGCTGTGTGCAAAAATCCCAGTGGGATGCAAGTCAAATAACAACAACAACCACAAGACAACTAAGATTAAGGACTCCGACGCAGCCATCCCCTACCGTGGCCACTCATGAGTGTCGGACTTGGCAAAAGTTCGGGGTTCGTGGCCATGGCGAGCAGTAGGAACCCTGTGAAGGCAGAGAGAGACAGAGCTGGGCTCGTGTTACACGCGACATCAAGGCTGGATGGGTCGGCGTAACTCGAACCTGCAATATAATCTTGCTTTTAAGTCCAATGGAATTCTCAGAACAAAAAAACTCACCGTGGGGTGAAATCATCACGTGGTTGATATCGAGTTTATGCGCATGTATTTTGCTCGAGTTAAAGGCCCTTGTTCGGTCAAAACAAGAGGCTACAATAAAATAACGTCCAGTCAACCAAGTGCGGAAACAATACGGGCTTAATAAAACTCGTAAACACTGAGCTGCACGACAAGCGTTAACAACGAAGCTTCACAACCTCTCCGAGGGTCACACAAGCATCAGTATTTATCACCATGAAGATTATTACCCTTACCCGAGGGCAGATTTAGGTCGTCAAATTCCCTTTGGCGGACCACACTTTCAGGGACGCCTTATAGTCACCTCCGAATTATTGCCTTTGGCAAAATGTTCTGTACGATCAGATCGTTGCAAACTATAACGATGACACTTGTGTTAGAAGACCGCCGTTACCGAGTGCGAAGCTGATTACCACATCCAACAGGCGACTTCGCTTATTTAGCAGCTTAGTTATCTTATTCAAACACAGTTACTGAGCACAGGCCCAGAACGTCAAGTGGGTGAGCAACAAACAGCACGCGCATCAAAGTTGTAACAGATAAGAGTTTACACGTTTCTTGAATTCGGAAAAGTTATTAAGAACCCTCAAATGGAAGAAATTGGTGGGGGGGGGGGGGTTGACTCTAGCAATCATCACCCTTCCTCGGTCTATAAAATAAGTACTGCACCACAATGCTATCCTGCACCCCCCCCCCCGCCACAGTAACGTGGAGTTCCCAGCACTATCACCACCAACTACCTAATGGTCAATCTTGATTTGAATCTTGATTTGAAGCTTTCGTGACTGGTCACCAACATAGACGACGCCCCGTGTGAGCTGCTCGACTGAGGATGTTATTGGAGAGTGATAGATATTGGAGGTTGGCCTCAGATTGATGGGAGGCGGTGGAGTGGAGCGGCGTTGACCGCCACGGTAATGGAGGAGTCGTCTATCCTCAACGCCCGCCGGCGTCGCCGTTGCCAGGGGAGACCAACTCATCAATGCTGCAGCACGTGGGTGTCCTTCCGGAAGACGTCTACCTCCTCTGGAAGACGTCTGTAACTTCTGGAAGACGCCCTTGCCCTCTATTTGGAAGGCTTCTGAAATAACCGGTTGGGGCTTCTGGAAGATGTATGTCTTTTCTGGAGGACGGCTGCCTAGACCTCTGGCGATTCTGGAGGACTTGTTATATAACTGACGTGATATAGTAATGCACGTTACAAAAAAATGGACTAAACAAGCAACACATCTTGATTTTTAAGCTTTCGTGACTGCAGGGATTCATTTTCTTGGTTCTTTCGGTAAAGTCAATGATGATTGCTTGTGTTGCAGTCGAAACGTCGTGAGAATTTTATTGTTTTAGATTTTTATTATTTTACTGTTTCCCTTCTACGTGACTTTACCGAAAGAATCAAGAATAAGCAAAACATCCTTCACAAATCTGTCCCTGCACAGAAAAAAATAAAAGCATTGTTTTTCACATCCCCAACAGCTACACACGACCTTCTGGAATGCATGCCAAATGTTTATTGGCAAGGACCCATCCTGTTAGAAAACGGGTTTTATACTTCGCTGGGCTATCATTTGTGGCCAGGTCGCTTCTGAAAAAAAAGCTTATAGCTCAGTGGGCTTTACCTGGTAAGACAAAACATAGTTTAATTTACGTGTATTTTTGAAAAGTGATTTTGTTTACCTTTCCTATACTCTGTACTCGAGTTTTTGTATTGTATGTTGCTGTGATGTTCTGACCTGCCCCTACTGGAATATCTGTGGGGAAAAAGAGCATTCTAGCTCATCGTATTTTTCCACCATAAATTTAATATTCTGACTCTTGAAGTGCCCGCAGCTGAAACCCAAGGAGCCCAATGTGTTCGCGCGCCAGCGCACGTAGGCTCGGACACGTGGACCTGCCAAGCCCCGCCCGCCGCCTCCCATTGGCTGACACCTCCGGACGAGAGCACGCCCTCTCATCAAAACCGCGCCTTTGTGGGCGGGGCTTCCGCCTGCCACTGTAAGTCACGCCCCCGCGCGTGATGTCACTCGCGTCCAAGGTATAAAAAGCCGGGCGCACGTGCGACGTGCGGCTGTTATTGATGTGTTGGGGTGGTGGATCCGTGTTGGAATCCGGCCAGGGGTTGTTGACCGAGGGTTCAGTACAACTTGTACGTACAGCGGCAGTGACGAAGACGCGTTATAGCGACAAGACAGAATGCTTCTGCTCGAGTACAACGGCGAGGTAAGAGGGCAGCGAACTCAAGAAGGGGTGCACTTATTTGCAGTGTTGTGCTTAGTTTTCAATCGTAAGAATTACGCCTCTCGATTAGCACGGTTGGTTTACGTACGGTTCCAAATAAGTTCTTCATACATACAGGCGAGTTAATTGACTGTAGAGCTTTCGTGAGGGCAAAAAAAAACGTATTGAAAGCATTGGTGGTTTGTGAGCAATATTATACAATGTTGATTTATATCAACATGGGGATTTATAGCCACATTGTAAGGGTTAGGGTCCATCAGTCCATTGGAGCTCAGAACCAAATGTTTTCGAGCAGCATTTAGCAGAAAAGCATGGCATGACTGGAGATAATGCTGCTGGAAAGTACGGTACTTGTGCCGAATACTCATGGGCTGATGGACGTAAATGTGAGTTGCGTTTATAAGTGATGAAACCCGACAATTGTCTACGATTTAAGGAGGAAGATTCGTTTATCTGTTGTCGGATTCCCGTCCGTTATTTAATCTAGTTACGTTTTATATCACGTTACAATAAAATCGACAACCGGTTGTGTGGTTGTGTAAATACCTGCGGATTAACTGCCACCGTCAAGTATCAATGAGACCCCTATCTGCATCACTAAATGTGGCACAGCTTTACGCATGCGAGGTACAAAACTGGATTTGGTATTTTTTTGTTTAAACTTGGACACGACCTCTAATTGAGGCGGAACAGTTGGGGTGCAAGCGCGCAGGGTTGAAGGCGTCTGATTTATTCCGTCGAATTAACGCTGCGCCTATGACCACATGTCACGGCAATGCGTTCAATCTTGTCACATCTCGCAAACCCAGAAGACTTCTTGGGTGGGTGCTGTAGGCTGCTAGCTGCGTGATGGGCAGCAGGTGGTAGTGCGCAGCAAATCCTTTGCTGTACAGTACTCTACTTTGGTTCTTTCGGTAAAGTAACGTAGGTAAAGAAAATAAAAAATGAAATAAAATATTTTTAAATAAAAAGAAAATCTTTTTATTTTATTTTACCTACGTGACTTTACCGAAAGAACCAGAGTATGGATCCTTGCAGTCACGAAAATTTCATATCTAGAAAGTACTCCACTTGTATGCTTCCAAGTCTATACTCTCCGCTTTCAGCGAATCTCAGTGACCAGTAGGGTGAAGTATGTATGGCAGCACAACTCCCAATGACACCACCGGCGTGGGGAGGCCCTCATCCAGCAGTGGATTGACAAGGGGCTGTGCATTTGAATTACTGTCTTTTCTTTAACCAGGAGAGCCTTAAATTTCGATTTAAAGCTTTCGTGACTGCAATGATTCATCTTCTTTGGTTCTTTCGGTAAAGTCACGTAGAATGAGAATAAAATAATGAATTGATAAAATAAAATAACACAATAATATTCTCACGACGTTTCGGCCACAACACAAGCGGCCTTCATCAGGTGAAGGGAGCGAGACTGTCTGGTATTATTGTGTTATTTTATTTTATCAATTTATTATTTTATTCTCATTCTACGTGACTTTACCGAAAGAACCAGGAGAGCCTTCCTGTTTTTCACGTTGAAAACTAACATTTAGACAATATTTAAATACCGTTTTCATAATTTAAATTGTTGCAGATTCTCACGGATGCCAAGCAATGGGAGCAATAAATCGTCAAAAAATAAATTTATGATTGGTAAATCATAACTACGATAATATTTCCTAGAGTATTATGGAAAAGTAATGCATGTGCAGGAATTCTACACGGATCTTTATAGGAGGACCTAATCTAACAGTGGTAACAAAATGCTACGCGTATCGTTGAATGTTGAGAAGTGCGTGTGTAAGCAATACAGCTTTAGCCTCACCGCTAGGCATGTACATTTTCAATATCAAAATATTATATCGCATATTTGAGTGATGCTTAATACATTTTTGCAAGGAAATGTCTGTGACGTTCGCCTTGTGGTTGAAATTGAAGTGAAAGTATGTGTGGGTTTGTGTTTGCACCGCCGTTATTTTTAAATGCCCAACATGACTTGACAGTTTGATAATTAACCTATAGCATCGTCATTTTCCCTTTTACTTCACTGCTGAATGAAGGACTCCCAATGCCATATCAGCAAGGAGGGTTAAAGGAGTGAATTTAATTCGTTACAATGAAGTAAATTTAACTGTAAGAAGAAATACAATCAATTCAACAAACCTGTTCATAGTAAGCTCCATAATAACAAACTTCTGAGCTGTGAAGGGATGAATTTTGTTACGTGCCGGACTTGTGTATCTCTTATTTAACAACATTTTTTTTACTCTTTAGTTCTTTAGGTAAAGCCACGTTGGTATAAAAATTTAATATATCTACGTGACTTTACCGAAATAACCAAAAGAGTATGGATTCCTGCAGTCGCGAAAGCTTCAAATCAAGATTGAAAAAGAATTGTCGTTTCGTTCCATTCCATCTCCCTGTTTTGTAGCCCCTGTCCGTGTCCCGCTTGCTGGAGCCCAGCGACGTTTGGGACGCGGCAGGGCACACGCCGGCCCACCTCGCGGCTCGAGGAGGGCACGCGCACGGCCTCTTCATGTTCCTGCAGGCCGGCAGCGACGTCAACTCGCAGGTGGGAGAAGCTTTCGTAAATGTCGAGGTTCGCTTTTGGGGGGGGGGGGGGGCAGTGGGGGGAAGGGTTATTTTTTGGTGATTTTAAACAAAAAAACCGCACCACAATCCTCTAGTGACTTAGGGTTCGACTCCCAGCCGTGATGCACAACACTGGTGGCAACTTGGTATCTGAACCTGATTGAACCGTCTCTTTTTGATTTAAAGCTTTCGTCACTTGGTTCTTTCGGTAAAGTCACGTAGAAGGGAAATAATAAAATAATACAAAATACAACATAATAAAATTCTTAGTGAGAATGCAAGCAATGATTGTTGTGAGAATTTTTAGTGAGAATTTTATTATGTTATATTATTATGTTATATATTATGTTATAGAATTCTTAGTGAGAATTTTATTATGTTATATTTTTATTATTTTATTATTTCCCTTCTACGTGACTTTACCGAAAGAACCAAGAATATGAATCGTCTCTTGTCTGGCAGGCAGGTCCTGCTGCTGCAATCATCATCATCATCAACACTGAACGGTCACTATATTATGCCTGTACCTTAGTCAGGTCTACATGAAGTTCAGAGTTCTCGTCTTGTGTGCAGTGCTCAGGTCGTAAAGCGTGCATTTCTTCCCAGGATCATGTGGGCGAGACCGTTATGCACAAGGCTGTGCGATCGGGCAGTGCAGCGTGCGTGGGGCTCCTCCTCTCATGCGGGGCCCATCTACAGTGAGTCGCCTGCACAACAGAATCAGAATTTTTATTGATACTGGGAGAAATCCAATGAGCTATAAAGCTCGTTTTTTACAGATGTCCAGTAGGAGCAGGCCTGGACGTTACGACAACAAATAATTCAAAAACACGATAGGAGTGCAAAGTATAGGAAAGGTAAGCAAATCACTTTTTTTTTTACCAGGTAAAGCCTGTAGAACTATTAGCTTTTTCAGAAGCGACCCGGCCACAAATGATAGCTCAACGAAAATGGTTTACGTGGAAATGTATTGCAGCCAAATAATCTAAGTATTCTAAATGCAACAATCATTGCTTGCACAACGACAGCAATTCACCACTGAGCTACAGTACCATCATCATCGTGCTTGTGCTAAGCTGGGTGCATTTTGCAGCGAACTAAAGTGTTGGAAGCCCTGCTGGCATGTCAACAGGTATTATATGGGTTCCCTGAGATGGTTGGCAGATTCCGACACATACATCAACACACACAAGTAAATAAGTGGCCACATAAGTGAGTGGTTAAAACCAACAGAGCAGTTGCATGCATATACTCCACTTTCAGGCATTCTGTTAGGATCACCTCCCACCTCCGAGTTTTGGCCACTTCCCTGTTAAGGAGCAACACATTTGAAAGTGCAGAGAAAATGGAAGTACCCTGAGAAGAGAACTTGCACGTACGAGGGAATTGTACTCAACGGTCCACACAGACATGTCCATGAACTCGCTTGCCATATTATGATCTTCTGGTCACTTTACAGCCCAGCAGGTGTAGGAGTTTAATATCTTAATGATCGACCAACCTATGTCTATAAAGCACTGGATTACATAAATGCACAACCACACTCAAGATTTCATTGTATGAATGTAAATTGCATTGCATAGCTCTCTGTTTTCAGGTTGTATCTCGTATTATTTGGCACAATGTCTGAAATGTATCTCCACGTGCAATGGCGGAGCCAGGATTTTCAGGCAGGGGGGGGGCAACCCCTCCAGCAATGAAAAATGATAGAGGAGTTGTTAGTAAGTAAGGACTTGTCCCTTGCTTTTTATTCGACGCGTGTGCGGCGATGGCACAGCCATCGATCGAGGGTCAAATTCAAACCGTGTGTAATCGGCATCACGCTCGCTGAAGGTTTGCCTTCAGAGAAGTCGTGTACTGTATACGCAACTGCGCACAATTCTGTGAGTCACTTATAACTGCTTTGCCATTACTTATTGCCAATTATGGACTTGGACTATTGTCCTATCATCTCAGAGTCCCTGGCACGTAATAATATGCTACACAGTGGCAGTGGGGGTTGCAACATGCCGATTTATTACTAATAAACCCCAATGATTCCAATCGAAATTATGGATTTCGATCGGATCATTGGGGGGGGCACGTGCCACCCCACCTCCCCCACTGGCTCCGCCAGTGTCCACGTGCTACTAGCTTCTTTAGGAAATGACAACACATCCGTCAAAATCTATGTAGTGGCATGCATTGTGCTTGAAATACAATGGAATGGTTTAGCGGGGACTGCTGTCCTGATTAACGGTGCTGTTTGCATGTTCTCCCGCAGCATGAGGAACCATGCAGGCCAAACCCCGCTGGAGCTGGCGCAGGCCTGCGGAAACCTGCAGCTCATTGCCACCCTGTCGTGCGCCGCACAGACCTCCGGCAGTCGTGCCACTGCTTCCACTGGCCAAGCTCTGGGCCTCCTAAAGAGAGGCCATGGGTCCGCGCACACTCAGGGCACGTGTCTCAAGCGGTCCCGATTTTAAAAGCCACTATCCGGTGTGGCCTTCTGGACTAGGCAGCATGTTGAGCTCAACCCTGCGGCCTTCCCTGGAAAACCACATTTGGATTAGGAGTGGCTGCGAAAACCTACTTGCTAAAAAAAACACTGTTTACTCTTTGTAAAAATATCTATCTACTGTTTTATTCAGGTTCTAACCTGAGTGGATAAACAACCCCATAGTTGGACCCTCCTCAAAGTGAGGCTTTCCTGAAAATATACATTACACTTTAAATAAGCTGTGAATTATTCATGTGCTCTGTATGACGGAACTACATTTTTTTTAAGTAGGTTTTTTTCGAGCAGCTTTCTCGTTGTGACCACTTATCAGTTATCTCTCCATGGCTTTTATCAAATTGCATTGTTATTGCTGGTTTGTGTTTGATATTTACTCATTCAGGGACAGCTTTGCTCACTTCATTATGCAAGTTTCAAGTGTATTTTGCTTAACAGGAGAGTGGCCGCTGGATTAGAAACTTGAACCTTTGTAACGAGCGGCGAAATGCGCGACCATTAGGCCATGCACTTGCCAAAGTATGTCGAGCTTGCAAACTCGACTACATGCAAACAATCAAGCATTGGTTTGGCAGTAGTGCCGAAGTACAGATTTAATAACATGCCACATTTCTAATTAATACTGCCTTATTAACAGAATTTTTTTTGAGAAAATGCTGACATTTGAGCCTAATCTGCTTTAACGAAGGACCAGTGCTCAATAGGATGATGCCTAGTACAGGATATGTTATTTTTACATATTTAGTGATTATTTTATTTATTATAAGGCAGTGGTAATGATGAATCCAATGAGGATTTTTTTCTTTTCCCAGCTACTTCTGCAGTTCGTTTTAAACAAGGTTTTCAATACTAATCCACTAGAGGGCGTTCCAGTTAAACAGACGTCGGTGACTGCGATCCAAAATCACTTGCATAATGTTTACAAAAACGTGTGACCACTACCAACGTATTCAGATGTGTTTTTGCTTGACTTACAACATTAATAAGCCTCCACGTAACCAGGTTTTAAATGAAGCGATTTAAATGCACGGGGAACACCGTTTGTTTCACACTTTTAGTGTAAACTCTGGAATCTAAAACGTTGGAACATTTTATATTTTGCAGAGAAAATAAAGACGATGCACTGCTCTTTAAACGCTTAGGATAAAAGGGATTGAAAAGTTTAATTTGCAATCGCTGACATCATTTGGAATGAACCACAAACATGTGAAAAATAAATATGATGTACCCTTTCTTGCAATACATACGGGTGTTAAGATGTTCAAACATCAAATAGACATTGCAAGGCATTCAGTCTGCATTCACCACACGTGCTTGTGGTAAAAACGGTGCATGTTTTAACTTGCGTTTCACTGAATTAAACTATGCTCTTATACAAATTACAAATATGGGGGCATTTAACATGTATATAAATAGTTGCAACTTGTATGTATATAATTTCCGTACTTACAAATGTTTTACAAAAGGCTCCATAAGGTGTTTTGCAAGTGTTTACATGGCTTGATAAAATAGTTTTATTTGTCTTTATATTGTATATATATACTGACTCTGTGTACTGTGTTTACACAACCGAAGTGTTTTAATAAATGCTTAACCATCACGCGACCTTTACTTGCCTGATTGCAGTATGCTTTGGTTTCATTAAGTATATACAGTGAGGGAAAAAAGTATTTGATCCCCTGCTGATTTTGTACGTTTGCCCACTGACAAAGAAATGATCAGCCTATAATTTTAATGGTAGGTTTATTTGAACATTGAGAGACAGACTAACAACAACAAAAATCCAGAAAAACGCATATCAAAATGTTATAAATTGATTTGCATTTTTATGAGGGAAATAAGTATTTGACCCCTCTGCAAAACATGACTTAGTACTTGGTGGCAAAACTCTTGTTGGCAATCACAGAGGTCAGACGTTTCTTGTAGTTGGCCACCAGGTTTGCACACATCTCAGGAGGGATTTTGTTCCACTCCTCTTTCCAGATCTTCTCCAAGTCATTAAGTTTCGAGGCTGACTTTTGGCAACTCGAACCTTCAGCTCCCTCCACAGATTGTCTATAGGATTAAGGTCTGGAGACTGGCTAGGCCACTCCAGGACCTTAATGTTCTTCTTCTTGAGCCACTCCTTTGTTGCCTTAGCCGTGTGTTTTGGGTCATTGTCATGCTGGAATACCCATCCACGACCTATTTTCAATGCCCTGGCTGAGGGAAGGAGGTTCTCACCCAAGATTTGACGGTACATGGCCCTGTCCATCGTCCCTTTGATGCGGTGAAGTTGTCCTGTCCCCTTAGCAGAAAAACACCCCCAAAGCATAATGTTTCCACCTCCATGTTTGACGGTGGGGATGGTGTTCTTGGGGTCATAGGCAGCATTCCTCCTCCTCCAAACACGGCGAGTTGAGTCCGACCACAACACTTTCACCCAGTTGTCCTCTGAATCATTCAGATGTTCATTGGCAAACTTCAGACAGGCATGTATATGTGCTTTCTTGAGCAGGGGGACCTTGCGGGCGCTGCAGGATTTCAGTCCTTCACGGCGTAGTGTGTTACCAATTGTTTTCTTGGTGACTATGGTCCCAGCTGCCTTGAGATCATTGACAAGATCCTCCCGTGTAGTTCTGTGGCTGATTCCTCACCGTTCTCATGATCATTGCAACTCCACGAGGTGAGATCTTGCATGGAGCCCCAGGCCGAGGGAGATTGACAGTTCTTTTGTGTTTCTTCCATTTGCGAATAATCGCACCAACTGTTGTCACCTTCTCACCAAGCTCCTTGGCAATGGTCTTGTAGCCCATTCCAGCCTTGTGTAGGTCTACAATCTTGTCCCTGACATCCTTGGAGAGCTCTTTGGTCTTGGCCATGGTGGAGAGTTTGGAATCTGATTGATTGATTGATTGCTTCTGTGGACAGGTGTCTTTTATACAGGTAACAAACTGAGAGTAGGAGCACTCCCTTTAAGAGTGTGCTCCTAATCTCAGCTCGTTACCTGTATAAAAGACACCTGGGAGCCAGAAATCTTTCTGATTGACAGGGGGTCAAATACTTATTTCCCTCATAAAAATGCAAATCAATTTATAACATTTTTGACATGCGTTTTTCTGGATTTTGTTGTTGTTATTCTGTCTCTCACTGTTCAAATAAACCTACCATTAAAATTATAGACTGATCATTTCTTTGTCAGTGGACAAACGTACAAAATCAGCAGGGGATCAAATACCATTTTCCCTCACTGTACATCGTCAGCCATGGTCTATCCACTGCTGGAAGAAGTCCTCCCCACACTCTGCATCCCTCATAGTTCAGCATTGACACAATCCATCTCACTCCTGCATTAGCTGATCTCGTCGACATTCCATCGACGTGCTGGTTGGTGGTCCTCTGGTGCATTTTAACCTTTGGCTGTTATTCCATTACCAGTTGTGTACATTGGCCATCATCTCGTACTGTATTGCAACAGGTCCTGTTCAAGCCCATTTACTCAGCAGTCAATACGATGGCCGTTTTCCTGTTTGTTCTCTGATCCACTTTGCTCTTTCTATCTCTGGGTGCAATTCCCAATTTATCACGTACTCAAAAGCTGTTACATATTTTCTGTCAGTGTACATGTTTATCCACAATGTGTCAAAGTGGACACTGCACTGATTTAATACTTATTTATTCAGACGTATTGGTGGTATGTTGCTTTTCATTATCGTTGGAGCAGTGGTTAGCAACATTAAATAGGATTTCCTGAGTTCAATTCTCAGACACGGCTAACACTGGTGGCAAGTGATATTTGAACCGGTCCTGGACATCCTTCACTCAACCGCACAGACCAGTCTGGTGAAGTATGGTCAAACAAGGTCCATGACCGACCAACAATATTTAGAGGCTCTCGCGGCAGTGAATTGACATAGATGAAGTAATATTTTTTTACATTTTAGAATGCTTTATTATTCCATGAAAAGTTTGTAAACTTTGTATTGAAAATACTGAAAATCATAATCTTTATATAGACTGGAGGAATTCGATGAGCTATGAAGCTCTTTTTTCACAGATGTCCAGGAGTTCACATATGTCTACTATACGTAATACAAGACTGCATAGTTTAATAAATTTTCTCATAAAGCGTGAAATTGATATACTCATAAAGTATACATGAGGCAGCTAGTGGAGAAGAAAGGCCATAACTTTATCAAATTAAGATCCATTTCTAACAGAGGTGGTCCTTGAAATCTGTCCAGAATTTGTGTTGAACAAATGTGGCCGAAATTATTCACTCCCAGAAAGCTGCGTGGTTGATGGATTGTGCAAACTACTTACATGTATTCCATACCTGTCAACCCCTTATTAGTGTCTACCTTATTACAGACCAATTTAGACCTTGTTGATCACCCCCGTGCCCTTTTAAAATCTAAACGCTCATCCTACCATGTCCCATCACAAGGGAGACACACCAATACATATATTTTTGCCCGTATTCAAATGGGTGGACGCCGTATGGACCTGAAAACTCAATTTCCCTGTACAAGAATACAGGTAAACCGTATAGTTTGACAGCTATGGCATTTTGTGGAGAGACAGATTTTGTATTATTTGGTTCTTTCGGTAAAGTAACGTAGATAGAAAAAAATAATAAATAAAGTGAATAAAAAATAATAAAAATTAAATGAAAATAATAAAAACAAAACACTAATGTAGACTGTAGCCTGGTTCTTAATCGGAGTGAGTGTACTGGCAGTCTATAATGTAGACTGTAGCCTGGTTATTAAGTTTGGTGAGTGTACAGGCAGTCTATAATGTAGACTGAAGCCTAGTTCTTAACCTCGGTGAGCGTACTGGCAGTCTATAATATAGACTGTAGCCTGGTGCTTAACCTGAGTGAGGGTACTGGCAGTCTATAATGTAGACTGTAGCCTGGTTCTTAACCTCAGTGAGTGTACTGGCAATCTATAATGTAAACTGTAGCCTGGTTTTTAAGCTGGTGAGCGTATTTGCAGTCTATGATGCAGACTGTAGCAATGGTTATTAAACTGAGTGTGATGCCGCAGCAGAGAAGCCGTCCTGCCGACGCCGTGGCCACGACGCCGCCACCTCCGAGCGACGGGGCCGACGCTGCCCTTCCCTCACCACCCCCCAGATGAACACACACACACACACCCCACATAGAGCCCCGAGGGGAGGTCACCTGGCCGACAGGTTTTCACCCAGAAGCCCTCTCATGGGACCAAACTTCACGGTTTCCTGCGACCAGGGAATTGGGCGACCTCCCGCCAGGCTAACGTGCACCGCGGCGCCGTGACTTGGGTCGTAATTACATGGTCACGACGGGGCTGCTGAGCCACCGCGGATAGAAAACAGCCATAACACACACACGGGTCAGCAGGCAGGTAGGGGGGGACGGAGTCACGAACGGCGGGAAAGACAGGGCCGGTCCTCCGATTGGTAGGACAGATGCGCTTGTTTAGAGCGTGAAACGCGGACGTCTGAGAGAGCACCGGTCCGGGGAGAGTGGCGGGAAATCCGAGCCACCTGATTGGACAGGAGGCCAGCGGATCAGCGCCGATTTATCTTTGATATAGAGTACAATAAAAAGGGTAGAGAAGTTAAGGAGAGTGAGTTCGTGTTCTACTCAAGCCAGCGCTCGGAGCGGTCGACTTCCCAGCCACTCGAACGTCCGTGTGACGAGTCGAAGTGCAGCGAGAATCTGACCCAGCAGCTCCGTACGAGTCGAACCGTGAGTACCCGAGAGTAAGATATTGAGGCCATTGAGAGATTGTCTTAGGAGAGTGATTTGAAAGAGGCGATACGGATCGGGTCTTAGACCATCGGGAGATAGGTTAGACCTGCCCTGCTGACTCAAACTGACTCGGGTAATCTAACCTCGGACTCACTGAGAATAAACTGCTGGGGATCAATAAACCTTGTCATGTGGTTTCTGCGAGGGTGGAACGGATGCATGTTGGCGTGCGTCGTTGTACCCTGTTTGTGCGTGAGGGTGTATTTACCCACGTGTTTGCGCTCGCCCATGCGTGTAGCTCGTGGTTAGCGTGTGCGTGTGGTGAGCGGCGGCGGACTCGTACAGGGCACGTGAGATTACTCATACGCCCTTTCGTTTAAACGTGTGCGTGAGGCTAACGGGCATAGTAAACACGCGAGATTATTCGTGCGGCCTTTTGTTTAGCGTGTGCGTGGGGTGAACGGGCGGCGTACCTGTGAGTTTGTTCATACATAAATCTCCGAGACAACCCCCCCCCAATCGGCTGCGCGTGTGCGAGTGACGTCCCTGCCCTCTGACCCCCGAGTCCCGCGCGCGTGATTGGTGCGTGGCACGGGAGAGGAGCGAGGTCGGATTTCGAGTGAGTGGGTGTGAGTGAGTGTGCGCGGAGATTGTGTGAATTGATCTCAGGTGGCTAAGCGCCAGCCACGAATCATGCCCCGAGGGGCCGCAGCGAAGGGGGGGGGGAGTCGGTGAGCAGTAACCCCCCCCCCCCCCCCAGGCGGGGGTCAGCCTCCCCGACATGAGCGTACTGGCAGTCGATGATATAGACTGTAGCCTGGTTCTTAACCTGAGTGAGCGTACTGGCAGTCTATAATGTAGACTTATTCTTGGTTCTTTCAGTAATACAACTAAAATAAAACTAAAATAAAAACTAAAACAAAAACCACAATGTTTCAATTGTAACACAAGTGGCCATCATCAGGAAAAGAGGGGTTAGCCTCTAAAGGCAAACTGTTTATAAAGGTTTAGAGATGGGCGTAGCCCAAGTGTGTCAGCAGCATGGGCGGGGCAGCTAATGTTAATGCAGGAATTTTATTGTTATTTTTATATTTTATTCTCATTCTACGTGACTTTACCGAAAGAACCAAAGAAGATGAATTAAGTTAATTAAATGTTTGACCAAATATAACAGGCTAATTTTTAAGTTGATAATTTTGTATGGCCCGCAAATGATGTTATAAATATCCAAATGGCCCTTGGCAGAAAAAGGTTTCCCACCCCTGGTCTACACCAATCAAAGGGCCGCCAGGCAATCATTGCACTTAGCTCCACACACCCACACTGCTGACGGTGGAGGTTGACAAGAAAACACAAATCAAGCCATGACCCAAAGTGGTTGATGACATCTTTCCAATGATTTCTGAGTTTATAACCATCCTCTCGGTTGAAATTGTGTCTGTGTCTGTATATATGGATGGCTTCATGAACGAATCTTTGTTGACTAGCCTTTTGCCCGTCCAAGGATGGGTGTATTTCAGAAAATCTGAAACTTGCAAGTGAAAAGCAGACCACGACGTGATATTCATTGCATCAATTCGTTTCAATTTATAAGGGCGCAGGTGACACAGACCTATTTAATTTTAAGGTAATAATCCCTTGTTCATCATGACGTCCTTTTTACTTTGATGTCTCAACAGCATTACGGAGATCGCGTGACGTGAGGGTTCTGCTTTTGTAGTGAGGGTTGTAAGTTGACGCCGAGGAGGGGGGAGGAGGCGCCTCGCCCCCCCCCCCCCAATGTGGAGTGACGTCACCCTCTAATTAATATTAATGGAGGGGTGGCCATTTGGAGGACGTCACCTGTTCATGATTATTAATGAGTGGGGGGGGGGTGCTACATGTGGAGTGACGTCACCCGCTTATGATTATTAATGAGGGAGGGGGGGGGTGCTACATGTGGAGTGACGTCACCCGTTAATGATTATTAATGAGGGGAGGTCCATGTGGAGGACGTAACCTGTTCATGATTATTAATGAGGGGGGTTGGCCGACGTGGAGTGACGTCACACGCGGGAAAAAAATATTCTTGGCTCATAGTAGTTAATAGTCAGTTGGCTTGCAAGTACCATTGTCTTAGAGAAATCGATTTCGTATGAGCCAGCCACATTCAAATAATGATCAGCCATGGCAGAAGTATTGGTTCTACCGTGTTTCAAATCTGCCTTAGGCTCACGAAGACGGTCCAAAACATGTCGCTTAGTTTCCCCAATGTAACTGCTGCCGCAGATACAGCTTCGTTTGTAGACGCCGGAATGTTGCATGTCAGAAATCTTGTCCTTCACAAATGGGATCAGATCACGAATTTTATGTACTGTTATTGGTAGGAACCTCCTGGTTACACCAGCCCACAGGGGATTATTGTGTCCGTCCGTCCGTCGTGCATCCAAAAATGGGAGGGGTGGGGCTGGGTGGAGAGGGGAGGGTGGGGAGGGGCTGGGTGGGGAGGGTGGGGAGGGGCTGGGTGGGGCTGGGTGGGGGGTGGGAGGGGTGGGGCTGGGTGGGGAGGGGAGGGTGGGGAGGGTGGGGGTGGGTGGGTGGGGAGGGGAAGGTGGGGAGGGGCTGGGTGGGGAGGGTGGGGAGGGGCTAGGTGAGGAGGGTGGGGCTGGGTGGGGGGTGGGAGGGGTGGGGCTGGGTGGGGAGGGGCTGGTCACCCCGTGGTGCCCTTATAAAACTCAACGTTTAACCTACTCACGCCGGCTTGTGCCCGCCCTCACAGTCGGGCATATTTGCGGAATACACCACGTGGTGCCGCCGTTGACCCTGAGCTTTGATCGAGCAACCCAACGTTCCTACCAGCTCCCTCCGCAGGAATGTATTAAATCGAACCTGGATCTTGTGTTTGTTCATGATTTTGAAATATTTTTGGTTACCCCTGCTATGTATGGCAAGGTGATGGTTTTGATTGTATCCTCAGATGGCTCCTTAAGTCATCACGGTTGGGGTGATGACTTGATAACCAGGCTACAGTCTACATTATAGACTGCCAGTACACGCACTCCGATTAAGAACCATGCTACAGTCTACATTAGTGTTTTTTATCACTTAATTTTGCATTATTATTTTCTATCTACGTGAATGTACCAAAAGAACCAAAGAATATGAATTCCTGCAGTCACGAAAGTCAAAATTTAGACAGATTGTGCTTATGCATCATCGTGTCGAGTTCAGTTGACGTGAGCCAGTCCATTATTGAACACCCCTATTTCACGCTAAACCGATCCTACGCAGAAAAGCAAACGCAAGCTTGTTCCAGTAAACTTTAATCGCCATATAAAACATATTTCCTTATTCCTTAATGGCGATTTCTGACTAAAAGGCTGAACACTTTAAGCCATAGTTCATTTATTTATTTGGTATAGCCCTGTGAGCCATTCGGCTCTTGAATCGGGTGCAACCGCAACAAACAAAAAAACAAAAACATGAACAAGAAAATATCTTAAAGTGACTTTGTGCATGTGCAAACAGAAAATCCAGGAAAAAAAACATCATAATATTCCTGAAATAGCACCGTACACCAACGCTGTGTGCAAAAATCCCAGTGGGATGCAAGTCGAACAACAACAACCACAACAAGACAACTAAGAGTAAGGCCATCAGTCTAAATCCGTACTACAATAAACAAAAACATGGCCAAAACCAAAAATTTTTTTTTCGAAATCACCAAAATAAAAGCCATAAATGCAATGTAACAGTGATCATAGGGACTGCGACCGAATTTTTAACAATAAACTACATAAATAAATTATAACACCAAAATCTAGAGCCATATTTAGGCGCTAATTATTTAAGTAAAAATATAGTAAATCCCCCCCCCAAACACCCCTCGCATGTCAACCGCCCAACGTGGACTCGTCCACTCAAAAAAACATTCCAAGCCCTGTGGCGTGATGACGTCACCCGTACACGTGGACGACGTTGGCGCGCGCGGCGACGACGACAACACCGCCGCCGACGCCGCGGTGACGTCCCAAGGTGTCCACCTCCGGTGCATTTCGCGCGATGACGTGGCTGGGGTGGGGGCGGTCCCTCCCCCCGACCCCATACAGATTGGCGCGATGATGTCACGTCTCCGCGGGCGACGCTGCGTGGTGACGTCACCGCACCTCGCCCGTGTAAATAGCCAAAGAGCGGCGCGCGCTCGTTCGCCGATCGACGCCAGTGTTATTTATTTATCGTTTTTGTTGTTGTTATTTTAGTAATCGCGTGTGTGTTTATACATATATACGTCGCTTGTTTTTTTTTATTTAAAACAAAATTAAAGGAAGAAAAGATGTCCACGCCTGCCCGAAGGCGCCTCATGAGAGACTTCAAACGGTGCGGTTCCAGGCGAGGCGGGCCCGAGTAGGCCCCAGCACACACCTACCACATACATGGCAAATACGTGACAGTTCATTCGCGGATAACGTGATACAGTACATATATAACGTGTATATCACGGATACAAGGCGTGACTGTGTAATGTACGTAGGACATAGTCTCATTAAAGTATCGTGTAATGCACTGACTCATTACTCATGTACAATTACAAAACATACCATACGTAGTGCATATATAACATAAATACTGTACACAAGTTGAATAGGTAGTACCGTACATAGCACATACACAATACATTCAGTATCATAGTTTTTTAAAGAATGGCTTTATTAAACACGCTATGTAATGTAACACGTATGTATTAAGCGAACAACAACGTCAAATGTGTGACATCGCTCACGTACACACATGACTCGCACGTACAACGTTTATAACAGAACACAGATACGCGGTGTTTGAAAACCATGACCAGTCTACGTGTAAATGGTAGTGTCGTGTGTGTGTGTTGGTTGAAACTCCCTCTTGAGAGACGTCGTGAGAAGTCGGAGATGTCATAATGAGAGCCGTCGAGTGCTTTCAGCGGGTTTTTTTTACCATCGCGTTCACAATAGAGTGTTTCCCTGAGGAAATGGTTGGCCGTCATAGCCAAACATGACCCTTCTTGGTAAATACATTTTGAGGCTCAGCAGTGAGGTTTTCCTGGGTAAATTAACGACTACAGTACTGTATTGTACGAGAAAATGTGGATTTACGTCACATCCATATGTGGTGCCGTCTCTTTTCATCGGTTATCACATGACGCTGGTGATGTTATGTATTCCTACTGGTGGGTTTGTAAATTAAACATGGGTTAGCCGTAGCTTGAAGGCCTCTGAGCGCGTCGCGGCTTCTCCGTGGTCTCGTAGATTGAAACAACATCAAGAGGTTAAAGGCGAGAGCTTAGAATGGTGTTTGATTTGTTTTAGCACCGTCAACATTTGGGTCACCATTCCGGTGGTACACAATGGGCCACACTCGAGAATTCACGTCGCCAAGGAATATTTAACGTTGCCTTGTAGAATTGCCAAGTGAACGTCGTAGGAGGTTTTAAAAAAAAAAAATCTAAACGTTCTGAGCAGCCACAGTAAATAGGACTTCTTGGGCCCTCCAATGTAGTTAAGTGTCGAGTCACAGCCGTGCAGTGCGTCACATTGTATGATAATGAACGTTGTTTAGTTATTGCGCGATAATAGTCTGGTGAAAAAAAACCTAAACGTGAGATGCACGTCTTCCGTGACGAGACAAGTTGATAATGTACAGAGTTATTCTGAAACCTCAGACGTGTTCACCGCGGCGCAAGTTACGCAACGGACCTGTGTAGGCAATACCTGAGTAAACATAATTCCGTGATTCTACAAAAAAACCCCATGCTTGTTTAGATAATCTTAACAAAAGAAATACGCAAACGAGACAATACCCCTCTTTCACATGTCTGCCCAGAAACATGAATAAAAGTGATTTTTACACATCCCCATTGGTCACTCGACCTTCTTGGGAGTGCAGAATTTGAACAGAATTCGTTCAAACAAGCAAACTCTGGACCGGTTTTAACATTCATTGGATGAGTAAAACAGAGTCTAAATCGAAATTGAGACTCACATTTGTTAAAGTGTAGCTACAGATGTAGGAAGAAGGCGTATTGGAACTTATATTTTTGTTAAACGAAGCTAATGATGATGTGTTTAGATTTTCTGTGTGTTTTGTTTCCATAATTCAAATGCACTGTCACATGGCTATACACATGTGTTTTGTGTGTGTATGCATGTTTGGGGTGGAGCATAGGGCGTAATTCTTATGGCACCTCGCCATGAAGCCGATGACCTGAGCTCGGTTCCCGGCCCCGTATAAAATCAGTGGCGTGTGATACCTGAACCTTTCCTGCCTGCCACTCCGCACTGATCAGCCTGAATGACCACTACGGCATTTGGAGGCCTTTATCCAGCAGTGGATTGACAAAGGGCTGTAACATGTACGTTTGTGTCTTTATAGCTATGTAAAGGTAGGTGTCATTTGTATGTATAGCAACATAAATACATGGTGCAGTCTGTAAACACCACCACGGTGGGACCAAGGTGGCCAAGTGTGGTCACGGTCACACCACCGCTTCTGCCAATTCTAGCCTTCATAGGTACTCGCGAACAGCATTTGCTACATCAGCCTGTTAAAGGCTGCGTGAGGATTCTTGTGTTTGTTGTAGGTATGCTTATGTGACATACAGTGTAAAGGGGCAATGCAGGAAAGACAGGATTAACTTTTCCCCGCTTCCCATGGATTCAAGCTGCTTTAGAACCTGTCCCCCACATGCTCTGGCTTTGCTCACTTAGGGCTCCTTCAGAGGAGTATTTAATCTAAATTCTTCCAGGCGGGTTGTAGTCAAGTTCATTACCCACTTTTTACCTCTTTGCCAATTTATACCCGTTCACACCTCGTCAAACGATATGTGAGAAATTAAGGTTAATGCACACCTTACTTTGTCATTAGCAATCCACACACCAGTTGACTCTCTTACCATACGCTCGGTTTCACTTTTGAGCAGTCTAAATTTTCCGAACGTGGTTTTCTGGCTTTGTGGGTCGAGTGTGCTGGACACTGTACGTTTATGTCCTGGGAGTGAATTCTTAAACTAATTGTTTAATCCACCATTGCATATTCCAGTGCTTTATGAGAGTGACTATCTGGCCTCCCTCGGGGTGACAGGGGAGAAGAAGCAACGCTATACTTAGCATGGTGGTCCCTGACGTAAGAACCGGCTTGTAAACAATCTGAACATGGTGGACAAGAGTTGCATGATGTCTTTAGTGAATGCCTATTTTTGTAGAGCATCAGATATTATGGAGGATAATATAAGTCTATGGTTTGGCGTGAACGAAGCGGGAAAGTCATGACATGTTGTTTGGTGGGAGACCTGGTATTGTGGATTGTCACTGTGGTTTTCACTCTTAGTCGTTTGCATTCTTTTTCCCTGCTAGGACGCTACGTCAGAGTTTAATGATGATGACCTTTTCAGTGAACCCAGAATATGCTTGACTGTGCTTTGTGCTTGATGGTTGCCAGTGAGAGCATGACTGGGTTCAAGGAGGCTGATGTTTCATTCGCGTCAATTTGTCACGCTACACAGAGCTGCCCAGCAGCCAGCTGATTCTAACGCCCTTGTCCACATGTACTAGACGTGTGTGCAGAGTCGAGCCTTAAAAGGTGTTCGTGATGTAGAGAAGAAAACAAATGTCGTGGCTGGCTCCGAGCATATTCTTGCGTAGCCGAAGCTGACAGCTCACCCAGGACACGCATGATGCAATAGAATGAGTCGTTTTCACATTTTACTGTTCCGTGTGTGGCTTCAACAAGACCCGTTCCATATTTTAGTGTCTGTGGCTTTTACATCAGTTTAGTTTTAATTGCAAATTATTTACTTTCAGGTCCTTTGTTGGCAGTTAATGTTGACTTTGCCATGTCCCTTGTAAAGTATCTTGTAGGAAATCCATTAATTTAAAATTGCCATATGAGCTGCTAGCTGCTATTCTGACTACGGTGTTAATGTTCAGTGCAGTGCTTTGTTGCATATTTTAATTATGAGGTAATCATGTTCTTGAGACATTGAAATGCAGTCATTAGCATTTAATATTTTAATTGAAATTACAAATCAAATTGGTGACATTCTGTAAAGAAGATTGTCTAAAAAACAGCACCTCCTTGGTGATGGAAATTAATGCAGATCTTAGGTGGATTTCAGAGCGGACTCTTTAAGGAGCCTCCATCGAGGTTCTTTTGCCACTCGTGTTGTTCTTCCTGAGCCCCACGAGGCCACCACAGTGGTTTCCAGTTCTGTGGGCTACGGCGATGACTCGGCATTCGTGGGGCCCAGGCTATGCCTGCGCTTGGCAGGCATAGCCGCTAGTCGAAGTTTTTATCAGCATATGAGGATGTTTTGTTTCCTCATGGCTGTGCGGGTGAGTTGCCTGTTAGTGATGCATCGAGGGCCTCTGACGTAATAGGCATAAATGGCATATCAGAGCAGCTCACTTTGTTCATTATGAGGTGTATTATGCTAGTTTTGTAATGTTAAATTATGTCCTGAATCTGAATGCGTATTATAATGATCATAATATATGTAATGTAGTGTTGGCACATATATGCATCTGTATTATAAAACATGAACAAAAAATACAAATGTTGAAACACTATGTTTTTTTACATTTTGTTTTCTGGGAAAGTTGTAGTACATGAATATGAAACAGTTATTGGATCAGGCGTGTCATTCTTCTTTGTCTTCCCCCCACTGTACATGTTATTCCACATCTCTCCCCCTCCTCAGGTTACAGGAGGACCCTCCGGCAGGAGTGAGTGGGGCGCCCTCAGAAAACAACATTATGCTGTGGAACGCAGTTATATTTGGGTAAGTCAGGTGGGGCCCTCTGACGTCCCCAAAGCACCCGTTCTTCTTGTATTACCATCCACTTCCGTGCAAAGAATGTCCCTTATATCCAACGAAATGTGCACCCTGAGTTTTTAACTGGGATTGCAGTCTCCCTGATGTTACCTAAGCGTCGGCGAGATTTATGGAACGTCACAAGCTTTTATGCACCCCGATGATTAATAATTGACGAGGAATGTCGCTGCGTCGTCTTTACTGGCTCCACGTGTTTTTTTTTTACGGACCGAGCCTTGTCGCGTAGCTGGGCAGGGTGATCCGTGTTCCCATTCTGTGTATATGCCCACTAAAACGCATCCTTAATTTGTGTTCACGTTATGGTTTTCAGGCCCGAGGGAACTCCGTTTGAGGATGGTGAGTTGACATCCTTCCCACTCTTATTTAACGGTGATGGTGTTAAAGCCGCTGTGTAAATCAGTGGCATTGCATTCTCGATTGCTCTGCCAATTGGTTCCTGAACCTCTTCTTGCCTTGACTTAAAGCTTTCGTGACTGCAGGAATTAATATTCTTTGGTCTTTCGGTAAAGTCACGTAGATAGGTTCAAAGAAAATAACAAAAAATAAAAACTACAACGTTTCGATCGCAACACAATGCGATGGGCTCACATGAAATGTATTTCTCTAAGACGAAGGTACTTTGCAAGCCCACTGGCTATCAACAAAGATTAGTTCATGAAGCCGTCCATATATAGACACAGATACACTTTCAACCGAGAAGATGGGTACAAACTGAGCTATCATTGGAAGGACGTTATCAACCAGTTTAAGTCATAACTGGCTATGATGTTCTCATCCTACCACCTTCCGATGTTAGTTGTGCTTTACGCCCATTTCAAACTTGCGCTTTCACAGGATTCACACTAACACAATCACTTCGCGCACCGACCCCTCGGTTGCGGCTCTGCGATCTTCCATTAACATGCTAATCTCTCATTAACATGCTAATTTTCACCTGGCAGCCCTTTAATTGGTGGAAAAACAACCACCTCGGGTTGACTGCCCACCACTTGCATTAACATTAGCTGGTGACGTTTGGTTTTGGCTATGCCCATTTCAAACCTGTATAAATAGTTTGCCTTTGGAAGCTAACCCCCCTTTTCCTGAAGACGACCGCTTGTGTTGCGATCGAAAGGTCGTAGTTTTAGTTTTTAGTTATTTTCTTTGAACCTATCTACGTGACTTTACCGAAAGACCCAAGAATATACTCTCCTTGCCTGTGACCTGAATTGTATTAACTTGCACCCATGTATGATCAGCGTGTTAGGCTCATTAGTTTTACATTTTGTTGGAACTCTTGAAAGAGAACAAACATTGTTGTCGAGTTCCAATTTTGAAGTTGAGGGGCAGACATTGACTTGGGATTTAGTGAAAATGCTTTATGTTTAGAGAACCAAACTAAATCACCCTAACAAAATATAATTGGCACACAATTTTTTTTAATGAGAACTTTTATGTTTCTGCACGACATAGTTATTTGCGGAGGTTTTTCCCCTAAAGACTGCAGCTGGAGTTGCTATGATGCCTCTCTTGGCCAGTCCCTGAGCAACCTTGCTGTCAGAGCCGGTGTTTTGTGCCTTAGCAATATGGTTGACAGAGCGCTCGTCGCACCGCCACAGTCTGCGCGGGACGACGAGGCCCCCGCTGGATTTGTCGATCTGGTGTGTCAGTAGTGGTGACCTATTTTTTCTCGCCCGTGCATCGTGAATCTGCACGTAAGAAACTCCCCCATTACTTTGGGAGACGTCGCACCGTGGTGGGAATGCACATGTTTGCCCAGTGAAGTGTTGTTTTCCACGACGTCCTAGTCACTGTCATAAAGCATAACCTTTGGTGGTCGACATTGGCGTGATATTGGCCCAGGTAGAGTATGCTGCAGGGATTTGGTGATACCCACAAACATAAGGATTTTTGTAGGATTTTTGTCTTCATGAGGGTAGCTTTGTTGTGAGCTGATCTTCCAATGTGAGCCCAGAAATGGGTTTGTAATGGGGTTTGTGAAGCTGGGTTTTACAAAATACTAACCAACAAACTGACAGCTGTTATCTGTTTGATATGTGTCGAGACTTTCCTGGCTCTCCTACATAATTCATATGTGAATGAATGAAATAAAAAAATTCAGACAAGCCTGTCATTATAGTAATCGAGTGACATTACTGTGTCATCACTCCCAAATGGTTCACTACTTCAGTGCAGTGTCATCACTAGAATGCTATGACACCTTACTATTTTTAAAGTATATTTTTTCTTTAACGATGCTTCAAACTTATGTTGGACAGCCGAGGAGATGTAGGCTAGGTAAACATAACTTCAAGAACCCTTCTTTGTAATGCATATTGTAATGCATATTTTTAACCCAGCCCTAGTGGTTTCCAAACTCCATCATGACTACATTAACCCCTCCCCTCTGGTTTTCACACCTGATAGGCTCACAGTGATGACATCCCCTTTACTCTATTTAAGACCGAAACAGGAAGACTTCTGAACAATTCTGGAAAATCGCCTGATGAAGCTGGTTGTAAAAACCAGCGAAACATCATACTGGAATTGTGAATGTTGTGGCTTGTGCTGAAGTAGTAACTAATTGGCACTTTTTGTTTACGTGAGTTAACGACACATTAATATTTACTCGATCTAAAAAGAAAATACCTTTATTATGAATAATATTGGTCGCGAAAGCTTACGTGTTAAACCCCATCACGATGCGGAGATACTCTTGTGCAAGTTTCAGTTGATTTTAATTCTATACCTTTTTGCCAATGTTGCTTTGGGTGTTGGCTGTTAGCAGCGGGTGTGTGATTTGGCTGAAATTCGAGGTGAACTGTGCGACAAAGAAGCACCTGTGATGTCGAGTACAGGTTTTTGTTAAGGCAGTCAAATAATGCCCCACCAGGACGGTTCACGTTTCATCCACATTCCTGCTCACTGAGCCCAAAGTTGGTCTGCCTTTGTACTGCATTAGCAGCAACAATTTGGTTAAAATATAAATGTCCAGCTTGCACTTGGGCTAGATTAATGCAGACAAAACTTCTTGTGTGGATTTGCAATTTGGGTAGCAGTGCCATCGTGGTTCGTGCACTGCAATATAATTGCAGCAAGTTTTATTCCTGATAATGATGCACAGTACCAGTGCGAATAGGTGAACCTGGGATGATTGAACTCTCATATTTGTTCTGCTTTTACCACGCATACAACCTGAAAATATATCGGAAATATGTACGGCACAACCGTGAAAAACCTACGCAGTGATATTAGTGGTATGATTGACTTCAACAAAGCAAGTGTCGACATCACTGGAGGAGAGAAAGGCTGCCGGACTCATGCGATTCTGGCCCCATCCTATTGTGGCCTTTGTTTGTCCCATTAGGTACTCAAAAACAGCATCTACCAGAGCAGTCTGTAAGGCTAAGCGGGGGTCTTTGTCTTCGCGTGTGGAATTTGTGAGTCCTAGTGCTGTGGTGTGGTGGAGACTGACGAGAAGAAGGGAGCGAGTGTGCGTGCCTGGGCATGCCGTGCCTAACTAGAGCCCTAGCACGGACACTCAGCCTGGTCGCTTCTCTCCCTCCCCCCAACCCCCACCCCTTCCCATGCTGCTGCTGACGTTCCACTGTGCGACCTTGACTGCCCCTGACAAAAAAAAAGTAGCGGTCATTTAGGGTCGTTTCATTTACACTCGGCTCACATGGCACAGTGTTATTTAAATCAACACTTGGCAAACTCTCTGAGCCCTGGAATTGGCATAATGTCAGTTTGTTGTTTACAACTACAAGTGCAGCCTTTTTTCAATTCACAATTGGAGATAAGGGAGAACCCATTGGGGTGCCTTCAGTTTGTAGAATTTTCCATTCAAGGTGAAGTATGTATTGGTGAGGCAGTGTCTCACCAGGGCCGGTACATCAGTATTCAATCCTTGTTGGACCAAATCTTCAATGATTGCAATGGTATCGGGCACAGGAACTTTGGTGAACAAATAAACTACAGTACATCGAAACTGGCGAGTAAATCACCTGGGGACAGTGATATATCTTTAATTGACCATACCAGGTGAGCTGAGTTAAGTACAGAAGAGGTGGTCTTACCAGTGAATGGCTGTCAGGTCTCAGATATCGGGCCAGTTTGTAGGTGGGTGAGCCAATGGTGGAGACGATGGGACGATGGGGTGTACCTTCTTTATGGATTTTTAGTAAGCCATATAATCTGGGTGGCCTAGCAGCAGAAGGTTTTAAGGAAAACCGTTTGGTCTGGTCAATTAATGAAGCTGAATCAGTGATGATACTTTTCGTTTTTGTAACGAGGCTTGTTGGTGGGATCTCTTTAATTTTTTGTGTAGCTACCATCATTAAGTAGGTCCTGAATTTTGTTATTGTACACGGTTTTGTCCATGAGTGAGGAGTGTTTGTGGTAACTGGTGAATTTATGGAACATTTAAAAAAAAGCCAAGCCTTGTCTTGATTATCCTGCTAACACCTGCAGCCTGCTATTGCTTGTTAGTTACAGGCTTGCTGATTTTGTAAATTATAGCGAACAACTGCGAGGCAAAGTGTTGGTGTTTTGACAAGAGACTGATTTACAGCACTACTGTTGCTGCTCTTGGTGGTGGTGTTGATTGCGGCTGCTGTTGTTGTGCTTTGCAGGAACGTTCAAGCTGACGCTGGAGTTCACGGAAGAATACCCTAACAAGCCTCCCACAGTGAAATTCGTGTCAAAAATGTTTCACCCCAATGGTGAGTTGTGGTTCTCCTCGTGCGTCAGCCTTGCTTCAAAGTAACAAATCTCTCTTTTACCTATGAAATAAAAAGTTGAATGTTAATTGCACTAGCTCGCTGTTGACCTTTGACAATGCAAAGGAGTAAGATGAAGAAATGTTCTGTATTCTTAATAGCGATTAATTATGAAGTGCTGTGATATTGGTACCTGGTAATTTCATTGGCTGCCTTATTGATTAATATGACACATTCAATCCACGCTGCTAATTAATGTTCCTTGAGTGCAGGCAAACTCTGGTTAAAAACAGGTGTTCATTAATGCGAAGTGGGAGCGTGCAGTCCTGTCATTTGTCGACATGACTTGTGTTTAACACCCAGGCAAGCTTAGTCACGCTTATCTTTCCATTAAACAATTATTTGTTAAAGGATTATTCATTTGAACTGTAAAAATAAATAAAAATGTGTAACCCTTTGTCAATCCTCCTCACGCTGTGTCAAACGTAGGGGTAGTTTAATTATAATTCATCATACTAGTCAGTGCAGATTAGTAAATGGGGGACCAGGACCGCTTAATATATTGCACTACTCATGTTAGCTGTTTCCAGGAATCAAAGCCAGATTGGCAGATTTAATGTTAAAACTTAATGTGAAATGCAGTTTGAGTTAACGGAGCACTTGCATGTGTAGAGGTGTTACGGGAGGGTGACACGCGGTTGTAGGGCGGTGGCCACAAACACGTCCGCTACGGCCACCACCCTGGGGGGCTGTGGGGGATGCTTTGATCCCTCCCAGCCCCACCCCTCAGTGAGGGACTGTATAAAAGGTGGGAGAGCTGAGAGGCAGTTCGACTCAAGTAAGATGAAGAGCCAGTGAAGAAAGAAGATTGACTAGCTAGACCCTGGAACTCCTTTGGGCCGCTGTCCTTTTGAGGGCCGGGCAAAGCAAGCCAAGGTGCGACACCAGAGCCACGAGGTCCGATGTCCTTCTGAGGGCCGGACTCGTGGGGCTGGTGATCGGGACCTGCACCGAAGCTGGGCCAGGTCAGATAGCCTCCTGAGAGAGGACCAGGATAGAGGGAACCAGGGAGCTAGCGTGGGCTAAAGATCGGGGAACGTTCCCTCTATAGAGTACGGGTGAAGAGGCCGTTACCTCTTCAAGTATCAGATTCGCCACTGTAATTGAAGCGTCTGTAATAAATACATGTTGCCGACGTCAATAAGGCCACTACACATGTGTTTCATTCAGTGTACGCAGACGGCAGTATATGCCTGGACATCTTGCAGAACCGGTGGAGTCCAACCTACGACGTATCCTCCATCCTCACCTCCATTCAGGTTGGTCGCTCGCACTACATTTTTCCTGACGTCCGTCATTAGTCCTGCGTCGGTTTGGACACCAATGGGTACTCGCAAAGCGGGTCGGTACTAAGTTGTGTTTACGACTTTCCGTTGGGATGCGAATTGGTTCGTGTTTATCGCGTTGTTTGGCTGATGTCCGACTCGCACTCCAACGGCAGGCTGTAAAAACTACTTAGTTTCAGACGCGCACTGCGGATCACCCGTGGGTACCCAACCAAATGCAGGGCTCTACATGGTGGGACAGAGTGGTTAGGTATGCCCCATGGCCCACAGTGAGTGCTGTTCTCTGTTAAAACCAGACACAAATATGGCAATAGATCAGGAGGACTACACTGCCCTGCCAATAAAGAGTACACATTTGCTGTTTTTCTATTACCACCATTTAATTATAAATATAACAACAATGTCACTTATTTTAGGAAGGAAAGCCTGTGTGTCAAGAGAATGTTCTGCAATGGGGAATGTATTGTGTACACGTTTTAGACTGAGTACCCAAAGAAAAATCTATGCATACGAGGGTTATAATACGGCCGCAGAGATCGATTCACAAAACTACTTGTTAAATTCCGTGGCTCCCTCAAAGCCCGGATTGTTTGGGAATTTCACATTCACATGATCTGCCAATCTTTGTAATGTGCTGGACTACATGTGTGCACCACCGTTCCTGACTTGAAATAACAGCAACGTGATGAGTTTCCATATGTTCACGTTGCACCCCTGTAGATGGACTCGAGCTCTTGCGACTACGCAGTCATAGCCAGTGCGGTAACGCTGCTGAATGCGCGCCCCTTGGGGGTCTTTTGTCATTGCAGTCTCTGCTGGATGAGCCCAACCCCAACAGCCCCGCCAACAGCCTAGCAGCACAGCTGTACCAGGAGAACAAGCGCGAGTACGAGAAGAAGGTGTCCGCCGTCGTGGAGCAGAGCTGGCGGGACTCGTAACGGTGGCGCAGCGGCTCGCCACGCCACCATGCCACCACGCGGGACTTTTGTAGAAATGGGAGCAATTGTCGGGGGGGAGGTTTGGTGGGGGAGAAGGGGATGCGAGTGAAAAGAGTGCAGGAGGGAAAAAAAATAAAAATACAGCATGCCAGCATCTTAGGTTGGAAAGTAATTGGCAAATGTTTAACCGAATTGAATCCCTTAATTCATTGTATTATGATAACAAGACTAACAATGACGGTCGTGGTAACCTCTGTCCAGCTCTTGTAATCAGAATCTGGTTCATTTTAATCGTGTGATGTGTAACGCTAAAGCCACATTGAATGGGTGGAAGGGGTGCAGAGTTTCTGTGATGGTGTTTGACATCCTCTTATCCCAAAGTGAGCCGAGTGGGTAGGTCACGCTGGTGGTGGCCGTGTAAGATGGCGTGTCGCAGCGTCGCGTCACGTTGTTCCATTGCAGTTGCACGTCAGACCCGCCTGCCTGCTCGCACGCTCGCTTCACAAACCGTCCCATTTGCCGCTTCTGCTGTTTGGCTTGGCCAAAAAAACATTTTATTTCATGCATAATGAGTGCAGGTATCGCCTGCCCTTGCTTTAATTTTTGGACGTCTTTAGAAGTATATATTATGTATTTGCTGTGTGTCCGACCCGAGCCTCTCTCGTCGGCGTTGCCGTGTGTTGCCCACCGAAAGAGAATCCCCTAAAGGGGGGCAAAGAACCTGGTGCACGACAAAAATTGCCGCCGTGTTGCTAAAACGGTCGCTTTCACGAGAGGGGGGTGCCTGTCCTGTTCGCTTTTTGCTGGGCTCATTGCCGTGTATTGTTCCGGAGCCTATTCCCAAGTGGTGTTTATGTTTGAAAAACGAAGAGAACTTCATACGTCTTTGCACTTTGATTTAAAGCTGTACAATTTCCTTCAGGGTGGAAGGAAAAAATAATAAATCTGTTGAAACCTCGTGAATTTCGTGTTATTTATGGATGGAAATTGTTTCTGTAATTTCTTGTAAAGTTACCACGTAAAATTAGATCACCACTTCACTAAAATGTAGTGGCTACTGTGGAAAACACGTTAGGTTGTACAATCAAATGTTTACGAGGTTGATATTTTAAGACTGGGAGTGACATTTCTATTGTGGAGTGGGTAGTGTAGTGATTAGCACAATGTGCTATGAACCCGGTGACCAAAATTTGTATTTTTGGTCAACGCTAACAGTGGTTGAGTAATCTAAACCTGTCCTGGGACTCCTTTCACCAATCTGCTGACCGGCGTGGTCAACTAAAGATCAAATATTCCCCATTACACACGGTGCCGGTAAGCCTCGTCATCCAGCCGTAGATTCATAAAAGGGCTGTAAATTATATATATTTCAAATTGCTTTACCGTATTTACTGCGGTAATATATACTGTTTTGTGTTATTAAGATGTTAAGTACGGTACTGGACATGACAAAGGATAGTGGATTTTGGAAGAAAACATTGCAGAAACGCATCAGTGAAACAGTAGAACTGGTCAGCTTAAAAATACAGTACATTTGGGCAGGAAAATCTACATCAATAGCACGGGTTTGGTTTTGTCATCATCTGGTTGTATATACTGCATTTATGTCTGTAATGTGATCTGATAAACCTAATCTCCATCGCAATGAAAGTTGAAACGTAGTTTCAATCTCGGTGACCCTAATTCTCCCCGCAACCCTGACTGCACCGCAGGTATTGACATCACGATTGCATGTTAACCATACCCAGTTGACAGTCGAGTAAGGTTTTCATTTCGCAACACTCGGCCAGCAGCACAGGTTGTGTCTTTATCCACGAGCGTGAGCCAAATTCACATGGTGGAACACGTCAATACAATAGTTGAGCGTTTCTAATTATTGGGTGAGGGCTCATTGAGATAAATCTTGCAAATCAAATGTGTAAATGTTATCCCCTCGGTTCATTCAACTTCCATGAACTCAGAATAGCTTTTCTGTGTGTTCACACAAGTCAGATTTAAGAGAAGCGAGCTTGGTCAACACATTAACTAGAAGGGACGGTCGAGAAGAGTGACTAAAGAGTGATAGACAAGGAATGTGACAAATCTTGAGATGTCCGCCGAGAAGATGGAGCGACAATATCAGCCAATATACACGTGCTAAGTGGATTGTTGCTTTACGCGATTGTGCGGGCTCACGCTGGCTTGGTGGGGGGTGGGGGACCTTGAGCAGTGGATTGACCATGGTAAAGAGAACGGGGTGTCAGTCACCACAGCACCACCATGTGGCCTCGTTGGCATCGGTTTCTTTAAAAGTGGTTGCAATTTAGACTGCGTTAAAGTCCTCACTGAGAAACCAGGAACGCAGAGACATTTGGCCCTAGCGCCTCCCCTTGGCCATATCTCGACGTTCATCCACGTCCATCCTTCAAACAATTGTGTTTTTGGCAATTTTGTGCACTTTAGAGTGACACTGTAGATACAATACTTATGAGCAAAGTTATGGAGAATCTAATAAAATAAATAAGCAGACAATACGGCTGTTTCCTATAATTGTCTCTCCACTTAAAAAAACAAAAGTATTTTATACATCCCATCAGACACATGGCCTTCCGGGAGTGATTTTTTTTCAGTTAATGGCTCAATCCAAGCAAATAAAACCGGTTTTGACATTTAGTGTCTTATCAGCAGCGTTGTCTTGCTTGAACAAATTATGGTGACCTATCAGATGTTTATAGCTATGGAACCCTCTTATGCCCATTAGATACGGGTCTAAGTATGTGCTGTATATTTGTGTTGCGGGAGAGATAATGGAAAGGTGGGTTATTTATTTTAGAGAACCAGAGGTGTCGCCACTGCCCCCGTTTTTTTAACTAAAAATACTTTATTTTCATTTTACCCACTGAGCTATATAGCTTTTTTAGAAGCAACCTAGCCACAAATGATAGCTCAACGAAGTGGCTTATCACGTGGACATTTATAGCAGCCAAATACTCTAAACGCGTGTGACTAAATGTGGAGGGAAAAACCGGAGGACCCGGAATAAGAATCCACGCGACCACGGGGAGAGAGAGAGAGACATGCAAACTCCAAATATACAGCAGGCGTCAGGGTCGGGATCGAACCCACGAACTTGTATACCAGGCGAGGTAGTTAACATCTCCTAGCCATCGTGATGATAATGAGAGAGACGCAACACTCCAAATATTCAGCAGCAGGCGTCAGGGTCGGGATCGAACCCACGACCTCCTGTATTCCAGGCGAGGTAGTTAACATCTCGTCATGGTGGCATGAGGCGCATGAGTAGCTCTGCAGGATATAGGGGCAGTAAGACGTGAGAAAACTTGCAATGACCAGCGTGGTGAAGTATCTGCATCCGGTACTCCTATGGGCTACACCAAGGCCGTAGCCATGGAGTCAACATTGGGGGGGAGACCAAATCTTCCAGGGTGTCTGGGGGTCCCAACCCAGAAAAACATCTAAATTTGTGGAGGCGAGGTTTGTTGGATCACACAAATGATGCATTGCACAAACTACGTGGGGCGTCGTGGTCGCTGTCACCAATGCAGCAAGCGGCGTAACCCCGCCATCTGTACGGGGATAGCGTCGCCCACCCTCGCACATGTGGAGTTTCTCTCGGTGCTCCGGTTGCCTGCCACGTGTATAGTTAATTTGTTTGTAAGTATCTTAATGTAAAAGAGGATCCAGAGCTCGGGTAATTGTGGATCCTCATCCCGCTTATCCGTTCTCTCGTTTCGCGAGTCTAAACTATTATTACTATTATAATTTGTATCGAGTGTAAGTGTATCATACAGTGCTATATATGTTACAAAACAAGTTTTGCAGGCTGGCTGGCTGCCGCGCGGGCAAGTAAGCGGTGGTGACGTCACAGCGCACGCGTGCGTGGTGACGTCACGCATGCACGTGCGTGGTGACGTCACGCGCACCCCTCCCCCCCCCCCGGTGGATCCCACGCAGAATACGCAGTGAAAGTTTACACAAAGTTTTGCTGATGTCGAACATTCTCCTCACGGGATTCTACCTCGTATCAGGAGTTCTGGTTCCATGTGGCTGAGGGCAGCAATTTACGACGAATGAATTCTAAAAAAAAAATGTTCTGCCGTCACGCTCCCATTGCTTGTCATGACATCTGCAGTTATTTGTTGAGTTGTATTCTCCAATTTCTTTCCTAGTTCTTTCCCTCATGCGTTTACGCACTGCTTTCTGCGTATAGTTTCTTATGGCTTTTAATCACTTAAAAAACACACACACTTTCAAAATATTCCCCATAACGGTGGTGGCACTAAATGTAAATTTTTCGATTTAAAGCTTTCGTGACTGCAAGGATTCATCACGAAGGCCGCTTGTGTTGCGGCCGAAACGTCGTGAGAATTTTATCGTGTTATTTTATTTTATTAATTTATTATTTTATTCTCATTCTACGTGACTTTACTGAAAGAACCAAAGAAGACGCAAATGTAAGTCCAGGTGTACCGCCACCAACGTTGCGTTACTGAATCTCACGCAGAACGTGTCCTGCAATCGTGTGCACTGATGAAACCCAGAGCAAAGGCTTAAGGACGTGGTGGTCGTCAACTATTCCAACGTCACTAAACAATTTAACATCCACAGGACAAGCCCTCAGATGTGACCGCGTGTGGCTCTGTTGTCCAACTACAACGATTCATTCTCTCGGAAGACTTCATTCGCGTTTCTGAATCGACAAACATTATGGCACGATTTTGATTTAAAGCTTTCGTGACTGCAGGGATTCATTATTCTTGGTTCTTTCGGTAATGTCACCACGTAGAAGGGAAACAATATTTTTAAAAAAAATATTGTTTCCCTTCTACGTGAGTTTACCGAAAGAACCAAGAATATTATGGCACGAACGAAAGCTACCTTCGTGACACGCATGTGCGTGTCACGAAACATTACGTGGGTCATATGCGTAGGGTATTGCATGTGGAGTACGTATGTTGAACTTCTTTCGTACCGTACGTAGCCAACCGAGCTTATCGGAGGTGCGGGAATGAATGAGAGGTCCGGTATGGTTTGATGACCCATGTATGGCTTATACATTTGGCACGATTTAAAATAACGGCAGTGAGCATTTCACATAGCGCCATTCACACGTACACGAGTTCCCCGACAGTGCATGCGTTTTGTAAAAACCCCCCAAAAAGCGTATTTACATTATCAGCCATGATCTAGAGGAATCCCCAAGCCGTCCGTCTCCATTCAAGTATTGTGATGCAAAAATCTACGTAGCCCCTGCACAGGAGCTGATTCAATCGCTCCCATCTCCTCGATGGTCGAACCTCTTCTTTACCACTGCTATTGTCATCAATCTCGACTATCAGCCATCAATTACTGGTGATGTGTCCTGCCCAAGCCCAATTACTATCCTAACAATTTATCTTAATTTGTTTACTGTCATCCACGTGTTTCTATCTGTGAATATCCAGGATGTATCTAACAAACAAGTTACTGCTGGATGAAAGCCCTTCCCGCACCGCCAGTTCACGGGGAATGTTTGACCATACTTCACCAAGCTGGCACGTGTGAGATTCGTGAAGTGACGGCCCAGGGGATCGGTTCACTCGTCATCGATGATAGCCATGGCCAGAAATGGAGCTGTGAATCTGTAGTACAGCCTTGTTAAGCTGTAGAAAATAATGTCGCGACGATATAGAATCCACATCGATATGAATCTAGTGGTGCGAGTTTGTAGTATAGTGCTGTTTTGTAAAAATCCCTGTAATATGCTCCAGTAAGATATACAATGGCACGAATTTACAGGCGTTAACCTGTAGAATTTGCCGGGTGTGAATCTATATAGCCAAGTGGTGTTATTGCAGTTTTAAAATATTATGAAATATCCATAATTGACATTGCTGAAACTTGTCAGAAAAATATCCCGACACCAACACGGACAGGAATGCACATTAACCTATGGTATGCATGGGAGTTCTCTTGGCGAGCAG